TAATGCAGGCCTAGATGTGTTAATATTGCTTGGTATCAAACGCTGTACAAAAAGTCTCTCTGCTGATATGGGCTCCCTGAGTCTGTGTGAGGCTTCTCTGCTCAGCTGCGCTGCATGTGGGCATCAGATAACGTGGCTACAGATTCATGATCACAAATTATGTCTTAAGACCTTTGAAAATATGCTCCCCAGCCTGTGCAAATTGGCATTAAGGATATGAAAGTGTTACCCATTAATGCACATTTATTCACCATTTTACATTTAGGGGACCCACCACTGTCAAGCATCAAAGCACAGTCAGCACATGGAGCCATGAGTCAAGAGGAAGTAACGAGGGTGAGGGAGGGCTAGAAAGGAAAAGAGAGAGATAGACAGAGGAGGAGAGAGCAGCGGTTCTCTGAGGATTAGCTCATTTAGTCTGCTTTGATCTGTGAGATCTTAATTGCTGGGTTGCACTGATAGAGTCCTCACAGAGACTTAGCAACACCATCCAGGCGAGGAGGGAGGGTGGTCATGTCCTTGCCTTCTCTTCTTCATTCCTTCTTTCTCCGGATAAACTCATCTCAATTCCTGGACAATACTGCTTGATTGTATTTCTATTAATGATAATGCAGCGACTTTACATCCAAAAACTAACAAAATTAGGAGTTTGCAGCCATACTTAGGCTCAGTGGTGCTCTGAGTGGAACAGACATGCTAACATGTTCACAATGGCAATACTAACAAGTTTGTGCATGTATGTTTATCTTTGTTTATTGTGTACGCAATGTAATATTTGCTCATGTGCACTAAACACAAAGGGCAGTTGAGGTTGATGGATTTTGCAGGTATTTGGCAAGTATTCGAAAAAGTTGAATTTTGACCTTTAAATTCTAGTTTATTTATTGATCAGATGTGGATACTTGATAGATTTGACCCACTGGCTGCACTAAATAACACTTTCTCTGTTTAGAATTCATCCTCTGGGAACCTTGAATATCTACCAAATTTCATGACAGTCCACTCAACATTCATGCTGAAATAAATGTTCATAAAGAAGTTTAATGGCTATCCATTGGCTCTGGATCAAAGTGGTCGACAGTCCTATAGCAATGGCGCCTTACATTAACCAAAAACTACGCTCACATTTTCCCAACAAGTCCTTACATCTAAACAAGATGAGCAGTCCGGGGGTGACTATTTTTTCTGCCTGTCCCAACCTGCATTTCCATCTTTTTCAGCATTTCTGCTCCTCTTATTCACATTTTCTCACATCACTGTGTCTGGCCAATCATCATTCTTTGCACATTCCATGAGCTAATCAATTGTTGGATGCTGCTTTTTGAAATATCTTGCCGATCCGTTGCTCAGCTCATTGATCATCGATGTTATCTCTTGCCATCTCAAGAAAAATTGTATGTATTTCTAAATGATTTCTCCGCATTGGAATAACTGTTCAATTAAGTTAGATTAAGGGAAAGGCATGGTGAAGGTGAGAGAAATATTGTCTTTATAGTTAAAATATATCCTCCATCCAGCAAGACTATTTTCAGCAAAGTAACAGCACTGTGTAAATACATTGTTGAAACAATTGACTGTGTTCTGCAGGAGTGGACAGCTGTACGCGCAGGTAGTTTTAAGGTGTTTTCTCTCAAGTCAAATCCTGATTTTATCTTATTGTGGCCGTTAGATACTGAATGTCACTGTCAACAGCTGCTGTGGGTTTTGTGACAGAGCGAGTTACCTTTTTCTATATTCCTCTTTTCTTCTGCAAGGCAGCTTTTTATGTCGCATGTCTGAATACAGAAAAACTCTGGAGCTGTAGTTTTATGATTTTGTAAGGAGGTTGATGGTCACAAGTCAGCAGCTGAATATAAATCTTACAGATAAAGTCTTTCGGAGAGTCGAGCCCTTTTGAGAGGAACTGAGAGCTCACCGTATTTGAGGGCAGCTTCAGCTTTTGCTAAATCCCTGTTTAACCCCCATACAGAGATCCAGAGGGGCTGACTGGCAAAGACCGGGGGTTAAGGAGATCATTCAGACAGATGAAGGTGATGCATGGCTTCCTTCTCCCTCTCTCTCTCTCTGTCTGTCTGCCTTTTGTCTCTCTCTCTCTCTCACACATGCACACACATACCCCCACACACTATCCTCTTTTTCCCTGTGCTTTATCTACTCCACGCAACCTTGTACACCCATTTCTCTCTCTCTGGCTGCTGTCCAACTTCTCTGTCGTCGCCTTTCATCTCTTTGGCTAAGACAGGAACAGGCAGATTAAGGAGAGGAAGAGTATTAGGGGAGCCATTCTTTCTGCCTCTTTGTGACGGGAGGGTTACTGTTAGCACAGCAGAGCCCTCCCTCTGCTGAGTTTGGTCATTAGAGAGGCTGCAGAGCAGTGGGGGAAAAGTAAGCCTGAGGGAGTGTTTACATTACAGGAATACTGATATTGTGAAGGCTCTGGTGAATAAATGCATTCTCATATTTGATAGCGCATTTCAGTTGAATGGTATATTTCAAAATCCATTCAGCACAAAAGGAAGTAAATTAATTAAAGTGTATCAAACAATAGAAAGGGCATATCAACTGACAAACAGATTGTCAAACAATAATGAAGAGAATGGAAAATATGCCAAAAACCAGAGAAAACATTATAGTTATAGAGATAGTTTGATAAATATGTGCATGCTAAGACTCCAAAGCACTCACATTGAATTAATAGAAGCAACACCTAAATCTGCTGTGTGGAAGATATTATTGTAGCTATACCAGCAATACAATTTGATTTGCAAATAGAATTTGACTCACAGTCAAAAGAAAGGAAACGGGCTTTCAGGAAAACTGGGATATTTTTAAATTCAAATGCTGTAATCCAACAAACAAACATTTTGGAAATATCTTAATAAAACACCACTACTGGAAGTAATGATATGTGATCTCCCTATGGGTGCCCTCTGTCTGTTTTTTTTTTTTTTTTTTTTTTTTTTTTTTTACCTCTGTGCCATGAGGTATTAAACACTAATTTGAGAAAACTAGTGAATTGTGTTAAACTGATATTGACGACACCAAACCACCTGAGAATGAACGTGAGGCAGCACTTTGGATTCTAGACTTTGGATGGTAAAATTGTGGATAAGTTTGCTGACTTTGTGAAATGCAGCTGACTGGCGGTAAAATTAGCTCGACCACACACACACCACAAATGAACAATACAACGTCAATTCTACAACTTGGGCTTGAGCATGGGATGTGTTCACATTAATTCAAATGAAATGTGTTTCAGCTCTAATTTATTCTAACCAGATTTTTTGAAAAAGTGACAGACCTGTTATGTGGTGTTAAAAATGTATTTACTCTGGGACACCACAAGAGTACAGGACAAATCACTATTGTAGAAATTCAAATCTGCCCTCACACCATACCTCCAGCCCTTTATTCTTTATCTCTGCATGAGATAAGACAGCTTTTTTGGAACAATGCATGCAACAGATGCATAAAAAAAAACACGGATCTGGCAGACACCTAGATTTTTTACTTTTACAATCACATTCTTATAGGGTTCGGATTAGAGGATCACCGAGGCTGAAGACTAGGGACTTGTTTCACAAACAAGGCAGCGTCACGTTTCACAAATGACTGCCGCCTGCAAAATGGAGATAAATGCGGGAGTCCTAAAGGGCTCTCGCATGCTCAAGCATGGGTCGCAGGTATGGTTTTTGTTTTAATTAGTCAAATGTGTCAAAACTAACGTGAGAAGAATGATCCTATGTTGCAAATAGCAGCTCACATGTTGAAAATTTGGTGAGAGGGGTCCAAGATTGTTTCCTAGTTCTGCCATGTAAATTTAGAAAGAAGACAAAGACCTTCTTCTTCTACCACCGCTGTTTTCAGGTGCGTCTCTTTTCTCTGTTGTGTTTGTTCGGCCGTTATTCTGCTCTGCACCGAACCTCCACGACGGTGTCAGACACGGGTGTGATATGTGATGAAACTGCAAAGCCTTTGTTCCTGCAATGTAACATTTGTCTGAGAAGGGGAAAAAATAGCCTATCAAATTTCAAAAGTACAATTCAAAGAGTATGCTTTTATTAGATATTGATGTCACACACATGGTTAGTGGGGGTGTGGACGTTTGAAGGAAAACAGTATCACTTGACGCCCTTGTGCTACCTTGCACTACAGTGAACAGCTGTTACATCACCCTTGAATCATTCATTCTGAAACCAAAAAGAGTTGAGGTAAACACAAAATCCGTGGAATGTAAAAGGGCTCTCTGGTTTCCACAGTGAATGATGAAAAGATGAAGGGGCTCACAGTGAAGTATAGACATATACCTCCAATTACACGGTCTACCCCACACGTGCTCCGTTACAACTTATTTGGCTTTGTAATTCCTTTTGTGCATTTTTTTTTTTTTTCTCTTTGATGACTTCACATTTCTGAAGCCTAACATAAGAACTGGGCTTTTTTTTTTCCTTCCTTTTAGAGACATTAAATGGGAACGTCTTGAAACATTATCAAACTGTGTATTCCTCCCTCCTTTTGATGAATCACCATGTTCATTTCTTCTCGTGGGACCAGCTGTAATTGCGGCTGATTTTAGCTTAAAAGAACATTTTGATGATTTGAGAAACACGCTTATTTGCTTTCTTGGTATAAATTTGATGAAAAGATTGGTACAACATGTCTGTCTGCTATATCTGAAGCTACAGCCAGAAGATTGTTAGCTTAGCTTAGCATAAAGAGTGGAAACAGGGGATACATTATTATGTATGTATTATGTATTACACAAAATGTCGAACTATTGCTTTAAATTTAGGAGGGAACAATTGAAGGGTAAAGAAATTTTTGACACCCGTCTCATGCTTCCGCTTTATCTCCAGGAATGATTTCCCGTCACGATAGGATAGAATCACTTGTAGCTCCACAAGTCCAACAGTCATTAAGTCTGCAAACACATCACATGTGGATGAAAGTTCAATCCTTCGCGCTGTGGTGCTGAAATCTTTCCATCCTTTTTTTTTTTTTTTGTGTAAAATCACATTTGAGCGATTGCATTTAAATATCACACAGTTAATATCAGTCCAGTAATTTAAAATTTTAAAATTAAAATGAGTCTTCGACAGAAAGTTGAACACAAACGTCTGAACAGCCAAGACGGCCATAGGGTTCCAACAACAGTCAGAGCTCCTCAGCTCCTGCATTTCAATGTGGTGGAGCACCTGGGCGATGCGCTGTCAGCAGGATCTGTGTTCCAGCTGGGTGACTGAACCTCCCTGGTATCGAAACATGATGACAGTGAAGGCAAGCCTTACACCAGCCAATGGAGTCATCAATAATAAGACAAGGTGAGTGGATAGGGAGACGGGAGGGGAGGGTTATCTGGGTACAGCTCATGCACTTCCCATAGGGCCACGGGGGCAGACAGGACCACAGAGAGGCGAGAAACAGCGTGACGCTCCTTGAATCTGTGATTTGACATCTGCTCCGTGTGAGAGTCTGTCAGAGGGCAGGAGGCTTTTGAGGGCGCTGCCGCTTCCTCTTCAGTCCGAGTCTCTGGGTTTTATCAAAGAGATCTGACTTGCAGGGCACAGAGAGTGGATGAGCGGCGTGGCGCTCAGCGGAGGTGGTCAGCTTTTAATGGATGCTGAAAAGACGTCATTCGACCGGCAAAAGTCAGTCCTCCTCTTCGACATAGGTAGAGGGAAACCAGCCCACCTGAGAAGCAGCAAAATAGATTACAGTTCAGACAGAAGACCATCTTTCTATTCAATTTGAAAGGTAAATTGCCCTCAAATTACAGTTCCCACCCAGCCCAGCCTACGCACAGTGCTTACAGTGACAAGCTTCACTGAGGTTGCGTATGCTACCCCTTCCCAACCTGCTTCCCACCACCAAACGGTCTCAATTATGTCTGACAGTTGTTTTCCCCCCGACACCACCCAGGAACTCAAATATCAGGCATTTGTATATTGAAAAAAAAAATTACTGATTGAGCTTTAAATACTTAGACTGTTAAGGTCAATACATACGCTGAAACTCTACTGCGCAGACAAGTAAACCCCCAAGAATACTTCTTCTTCCAAAAATAAAAAGTCTTACTGCCTTTAAGCGCTGAGAGGGAAGAAACTGATTAATTATTCAAATTAATTGACAGCAGAATATTATACAATATAGCAATTTGAATGCATACAAATGAACGGCAGCTACCACTGTATATGATAAGAGCACAGATGACAGGTGTAACAGAAATGTGCCATAACGACGGGATCCTACAGCAGACCTACCCTGCCGTCGACCTCTCCCTTCCACCACCCACTCGACATCTTGGTGTAGATCTTGATAATGTCTCCCTGCAGCAGTGAGAGCTCCCGTGTGTCTCTGGAGCTGAAGTCGTAGCGTGCCACTGCAATACCCACCACCCTGGGAGAAAACACTGAGACAGAGAGCTCTTTTATTGAGTGCACCATCTACACTAAATTTCACAATTATTCTAAGTATACTCTCAACAGGATTCAGTGATTTAGTAAGGCTGTTAGAGCTCTTAACTCACCAAGAACAATCACACCTAAAAAATCACAGTCACCCTCTTTACTTAATCAGGATCTAATCTGAGAGTATGGTTTACAGATGTTCCCTCCAGCTTGCCCTTTCTGTATGATCTATATGTGACACCCTGTCATTCAGTGTTTGCAGGACCACTCGCACTTTTGCAGCCACTTTCTCTCTGCATTCAGAAATCCCACAATTTCTAAAAGTTGTCCTCTTAACTCTTATGTTTATCACCCAAACATCCTTGTAAGAGCAAGGATGTTTGGGTGATAAACATTTAAATTTACCCAGAAGCTTTTGGGACTCCAAGGATGATCAGAGCTCAACTCAGATCAAGTCAGCTCAACTGAACTCCGTTTATATACCTTTAATGTACAGTGGTTTATTATTTTATCATATTTAATGTGGGTCTTTCTCTTTTGTAAACCTTGTGTTTACGATGATGCAAAACATTTCCCAGAGGCATTATCCATAATAAAATGACTATTGTTATCTTGTAAGGATGAAGAGGCCTTGACTCATGGGTCTGAGTCATACTAAGTATAAAAGCAAGACAACAGAGATGAGAGAATAGAGCAGATTCTCAGAGGAGGGCTATATATGGCTGCCCAGCTTGGCAGTTCCAAGCACAAAGTAGAGATGAGAGGTCATGGGTTATCGTGGTCATGTGTTGATCTTATTAAAAGTTAATGTTCAACTTGGCTCACGCACTGCATCAGCACCTACCAGGTTATGCAAGGTTATTCTTACACATGCAAGGCAGGGCTCATATAACACGTGAACAGAGGTGTGCATAGGTTTGTTTACCGTATCTGTGGAAAATTTCAGATGACACAAGTGGGAAGATATGTTGGATAAAAGGAGTTCATCTACTCCCTCATACGCACACCCAGGCACATATCCTACCAACACAGATGCGGAAGCCCACACATACATGCATGTATACCTATGTTCATGCACACAGAGAAATGCACAATCAAAGTCATAGACTATCATGCTGCTGTGAATCTATGTCAGCAGAATGAGAGAAATGTTAAAACCTCCCCCCCGTTACTCCGACTCAGAAGCATCTAGTCATTATTCCTCATTATGGTTACTGCTATTGCTGGACTTTTAGTCATAACTTATAAATGGATACAAGCCTAAATTTCCTGTTTTTATTGTGCTGCACATTTTTTATAGTTCATTAACAAATGAAACCATACAAGTGTGTCTCCCCTTTTAATTAACAGAGGCAATAACGTTGTTGTTGGATTTTAGTCAAATAAAAGTGTCAGCAGTGGTGGCTTCACAGGTTTGTTGTTCAATTCTGCTGCACCTTTTCCAGGTGGGATATATCAAAGCAGTCAGAAATTCACAACGTCTCCGTTTTGGAATTACAGGAGGCTGATGTGGATGTTTTTATCCCCCCCCCACTCCAAAAAAAATGTGCATGGTTCGCGCAATATTACGTAAAAGCAGCTCCATTAGACTACATTATTTAACAGAGGCAGGAAAAACAAAACACTTTGTCTTTGAAAACCTGGAAATGTGGGCATACAGCAAGGGAGACACAAAGAGAGTAGAAAAGCTGTACCTGTACCTGACCAGAAAGGCGAGGAGGAGGGAGGAACAAAGCTGCAGCTGCCAGGAAGAACTACAGAGAAACGAAGCGAGTGATGAGGGGTTCAGGCCGTAGTGGGAGCAAAGAGAGAACATAAGCAAAGTAAACACAAGTTTGACAGAAAGGCAGTGTGAGAGAGGGTAAAGGAGAGAGAGAGGGAGAGAGAGGGGAAAAGTTGTCAAAGTCAAAGAAAAAGCGAAAAGCAAGGACGTGTGGGAAAAACTGTAAAAGTATCTGATAATTTGTCATTTTACTTAGCAATGACCTGGAAAGGATGCTTTAATTGAGTAGCTGATAACATGTTTTGGGAAGTGGATGTCTGAAAGTCCATAGTGTGTTGTACTTTGTGTACTTTATGTACTTTTACTCTGTTCTGTTCTTCATGGTTTGAGCTCAGTCCTTTAGTTTCAATTCAGTGAAATTTTAATTATACCGCATACAATGATATTTTAGACAATAGTGTACTTCCAACTTTCTGGAAGTACACACCCATGCATTAATCACCTAGATGGCACTAGGGTGGGGCTAGATGGGGCTATAGCCCCAGCATAGATTACAGCAACATAGCCCTGCCAAGAAATTACAGGTTTCACATTCAAAATCTCATCTGATTTCCTTCATTCAGCTGCTTTCTTCTTCAATCCCTCAGCTGCCATTTCCAGCGCCGCACCTCAACCCCATTTAACACCTTTGGGACGAACTGGAATGGCAGACCTTATCACCCAACATCAATTGCCATCCTCACAAATGCTCTTCTGGCTGAATTGCAAAATCTTGTAGTAAGAATTCCAAGAAGAGTGGAGGATGCTATAGAAGTATAATGATACCCATGAGATAAGCTCACATGGGTGAACAATTTGCAACGTCCAAATACTTTTGGCCAGTTAGTGAAACTTCTACAACCTTCTCCAGGTCATACTGCATAATAATTTGCGATAACAACCTTTTGAGCTTCAGACCAGGTGAGCCAAAGCAGCAGCATGGGGGTAAGTATACGTCTGGGCACAGCACGGTGCCGTAACAAGGCATCGGCTGGGATTCCACACCGCAGAGCCAGGGACATCTGTTCCCATATAAAATCCCATCTGAGCCAGCAGACCCTCACACTGAGAAAACCACCTCCTGTCAACACAACAATATGGTTCCATGCCTTCTTCCTCTCCCCTAAAGGGATAAGTAAATACAGGTCAATACGTGTCGACTGTTGTGTCGACTGTTTGTCTGACCAGAGTGCACACAAACAACTATACACATACTATACAAAAGTACTGGACATACGGCCATAGATGAATTTGATACTAAAAGGTGATGCATTTTAGTATAATTAAACTACTGTGAACTAGCCAATAAAGTTTTCAACTTGTCTATTAAATTCTCTTATATTTTGACAGAGATTTTGAATGACTTGGTATTTGGTTAATGGTTTTTTAAATTATTTCCCGACTCTAACATTCACACAAAAACACAGACAAAAACTTCTCAGTCAGACTTAATTAAAGATGCTGGCTGGGGCTTTTCCAAACAAATTACTCCAGAGTTTTGATGGCTTTTCAGTAGTTCTGCATCTTGTGATTGTTTGCTCAGTCTTGCATTCTGTTTTCTTTGCTAGAGGTGTCTGTTTTGAGATTCAAACCATTTTGTGTGTGTTTTTTTTGTTTTGGTATGACATCTGTCTTTCCGCAGAGGCTGTTTACCAGAAAGAGAACGCGGTGCCCACACTAAGTCTGTCTATGGGGGTGGACGACTTAAGGCAATAATAATCTATCCCAGAATGCACTGAGGCAACGGCGGGTCTGTCAAGGCTTTCTCACAGAAGGAAGCACAGTGAATGGCAGTGATGCACAAAAACACCTCTTGCAGAGCTTTGAAGCCTGATGCGCTGTGAGACCGACGCTGCCAAAAGAGGCAGGGGGACAAGGATGTAGCAGAATTTTACATCCGAACAGACACAAAGGGCTAACTTTGACTTTGTTCCAGCGTTCCTCTGCTTACCTCGGCTGCTGCTGCAGCGGCTGTGGTTGTTTACACGTACAGCTCTCTTTAAGTTAAGACAGTTTACCTCCAGCTGCTTCCTGCTCTTTTGCATCAGATCATATTTGCAAACTTTTCCCAGTTTTGTGGAAGCAGCCACAGTCCCTCAGTTGGACCAGGGGTATCCCCCAGGTGTGTGTCAGCAGGCGGCTGTCACACAGTTTTCTTCGCTGCCAGCTCAAGTGAAATGTCATGTCCTGTCAGGAAAATTGTGAAGCCATCTCAGAGGCGAGCAGCGTGTGGAGTGTGACGTTTGGAGTAGCAGGCTCCTGGTGCTTGCCTGGGGCATTGGGCCCTAACTGGGACCTCTCTGCCAAGCCTGGTGAGATGCCGAGGCTCCTTTCTATTTCTTTCACTCAGTCTCTCTCGCTTTCTCCTTTGTAGCTTGCTCTCCCTTTATCTCTTTTACCCCATACTCTCCCTTTATACTCTGCATCTCTCTTTTAGCTCATTTACAGCTGATATTACCATGCTATCTGAAAATGCATATCTGGGTATGGAAGGTGGAAGGTGAAAATGCATACCGACTGCACTGCAGTCTTAAAAGTGATCTGATTGACTAGGTTTTTGGAAAAATCTTTTGATATGTCTAGACATGTCACTAGAGGTAAGAGGCTGTTAGCTTAGTTTAGCATAGAGACTAGGACAAGGAGGAAACAGCTAGCCCAACTAACAGAAATTACGTTTGTTTAATATGAAAACAGAAGTGTGTTGTTTTACAAGGGTTCTTCGGGAACAGCAGCTTCCTGGAATCTCCAGGCCTGGCCAAGAAATAGTTATATACACACACATATGTATATATGTGTATATGTATATACATATATATATATATATATATATATGTGGAACATAGGACAGTAAATTATCATAGTCATTAAATTATGTAAGGCGAATTTATCGCAAATCTTAATTTAATATAATTGAATTAAACTGCAGTAGTACTACTGCATTTGCATATATATATCATATATATATATACACAGTCTGACCAAGGTCTAGACCCAATGTTATAAAGCAATAAAATCTTGTGTATGAATGTGAATGACATTATACATGTGCTGGGAATGTTGTATTTAACTTTATTATGTAAATGACAAAAGAGGATCAACCAAGCAAAACTGACGAGAAATCTCTCCCAAAGAGAATTGCTGCTGTCTCTCACCCCGTGCTCTTCCACAGGGAATTGTGTTAGTTCATTATGCTGTGCTAAATATTTCTAGCATGCCTCACACGTCAAAGATAGAGACAGCCTCAGGTATTAAGACACAGTTTTAACTTGAGTGTCTAATAACCAAGCAAATGCTCTGTCAGCAAGATTTTGTAATGTAAGCTAAGACATTTTTGTATAGTCCTTTGAGGTGAGGACACAGTGCATTAGCTGGCCCACTGTAACAAAATATTGAAAATGAGATACTGATTCCAGCAATAGCTTCTGCCCTCAGCTTGTTTCATTGTTTCTATGTGATGACCTGGGAAATATACGTTTCCATTGATAATATAGACAGGCTTTAAAAGAAAGGTCTAACTTTCCCAGGAAAAAACAACTCACCTTGTTTGGCCTGAACTGAACTACAGAAGCAAAAACACACATCTCCGGCCCTCCAAACATACTCAGAACTGCTTTCAACTATAACCAGATCAAGATCCGATCTGAACTGGTAGCATTTTCACCTGTCACACAGTCTCAGGGCAGGAACCTGAATGTTTGTGAAGACTCACCACTGCCAGCCATAGTAATGGCCCTGGGCATGTTTCCATTGGATGGTTCCCTATAGGGGACCTGCAGAGTGGTGTCAAGACTGCTGAAACCCTCCTTCAAAGAATGCTGCTTGTAGTACTCCACTAAGTCCTGTGTAAAACAAGCACAATAGTACAAAACACACTCTTAACATTAGTAAGTTGGGGTAAATCTGGATGGCATTGTGTACAAATGTATAGAAATGAAAACAAAGACATGTGGAGGCTGGACAGCTGCTTGTACTGAGGAAGTGTTCTTGACCACAATATATCTTTCAATCTGCCCATTTCGAGTATAAGTACTGGAAACAGCCTAATGAAAGCTGCTGCTATACAATACCACAGCAGTTGCTTAAAGCATGCCCTTGTGGCTTTGTGGGTATATACGCAAATGTAAAAATAAACTACTTGTAAACATGTTTTCATTATTGTACAAAGCATAAGAAAAATGTTCACTTGCATGCTGTGGTTAATCTCAAGAGAGTACTGTAAAAGTATAATGTCAAAATGATTTTATTCATTAATGCTAAAGCAGAAATCCATTCAGAGTTACCAGGACAGTCTTGAACAGTCGGCTCTCAGCGATGTAAAAGCAGCCATCCTTGGTCAGAATCTTAATGTGCTTGATTTTATCGTTGAACCTGTGGAGGATGAATAAGACATGGGCGGCTAATCAACTATACATGGTTCCACATCAATCCGGTCTCTATGGTGAACAGTCACGAAGGTCTGTCTGCGCTGGCTGTCGGTTACCATGCTGAGCCATGCAACGTTGTTTAACAAGAACACCATGGGTTTTTCCCTGCTGTGGAAATCAGATCCAAGTCACTTCACATCAGATATTAATAATAATAGTATCATAGTATCATAGGTTTCCCATTTTATCAATTTATACTGTATACCAATTATTTCCAACCTTTCTGGCTTGTCAACCCTTAAAATTAAGCAATATCCACAGTACGTGACCCTTCATCACAAGAAATGACTGTGGACATGAGGTGTGAGCAATTATACCCAACAGGGCTTTTCCTTCTCAGACTGTTTCATTTGAAATAACTGAGAGCTGAAAGTAAAACATTAAATATTAAAAAAAAAACAAAAAAAAAACAGAAATTCTTTCTTTCTTTTTTCCCCTTTAATCATCTGAACCACTGCTGTGTGCAAAATCTGATAATATAATGTAATGTCTTCTATGGTAACAACACCACTTTCAACTTTTAAATCAAGCAGTTTAAAGCAAAACTTTTTTTTGTCCCCAAAATCAGCAGCACCAACTTTTCTAGGTAAAATAATTCATTTTTTATTGAGATCAAAGTTTCATGGGTTCTGTGCCAAACATTTGAGAAGCATGGACAAACAGCTTTTGTTCTGCCAGGAGGTGATTGGCTGATTAGCATCAGGTGTGGATTACCGCACAGACCAACTCCCACACTACATTCACTTGGCAGTTTGTTGTGTACAAATAGCAAAAACTAATGCTGTCTAACACAAAAGTCTTGTTCAGTTCAGTTGTTCAGTTTTTATTGAAACTATTTTAGAGAGGTGCTGATTCAACTGTATGGTCATATTGGAGGATGCAGTGTTTGAGAAATAATAGAAAGAGCTTAAGTACCGCTGTGTCTATATTAATCAGGATTTTGACAAAGATACTAAAAAAGCAGAAAACACATTAACCTTGTTTTTTCAAAATAATTGTATATTTTGGAAGAGGTTTTACAGAATCACTGCAGTTGATTGTGGGGATTTCCCTTTCTGTGTTAATTGTTTTATGTCAAAAAGCCACTCTGTACTGGAAGATACCATTTAGTGTGCTCACTTAACCCAACACAGGGAAATATATCACAACTGTAAAGTATTGTACGGTTTAGACTGTATGCTACAGGCCTGATTAGATTATTAAATTAAATAATCATATGACAGCTAAGGTTAAGTACTTTGTTGGAAACGTAGTGCAGGCCAACCTTATACATATACATAAACACGGTGCGTATATATATAGTGTGCAGACAAGCGGGGATTAGCTGTCAAGCCAATTCCAAGCACAGCGCTGTGTAGTGCATGTCTGCCACATGATGATGTACAAGTTACACTGGAGATCCGCATCATAAATCTCCCAATGCAGAATATAACCAATGAGAAAAACATAGTTGTGTTGCAAATTCACTGATACATTATGAATATATGGGGAGTAATACATTATTGATTGGTGTTGAGTATTATGGTGCATAACACATGGAGGCAGATGAGCCCTGTTTGGCAAAGGCTCAGTTTTTCTTTTCTCCTATAGGCTCCCGAGGCTGCGCGCCACACACACACACACACACACACACACACACACACACACACACACACACACAAACAAACAAACAAACACATAAATCATCATTCAGCACACACACTTACAAAATGACCACTTGTAGCGTTTGACATTAGACAGCTCCACTTGATTAGCAGGAGCTCTCCGTATAAAGCTCCATTATCTCAAACGGCCATCCTGATAATGATCTTAAGCAGTGAGACAGGCAATTAGGATTGGAGTGTTCAGAAACTGGGCCTGTACATCAAAGCTTTGAATGAGGGGACCGTATGAGTCCACAAAAACCAAATGGGCTGGAATGGTGTGTCACTGGCTAAATAGTCCTAACGTCCAAACACTATTTCAGAGTGCACCTTTAATCATTATAATCTCTTGGAGCCGTCACGGCAGGTCAGGAGGACTCGATAGTCCTTTCTTTTTTTTTTTTAAAGACTGAACATGCTTTGATGTAGCCTGAAAGATATTCTCAAGTTAAATGGACAGCGTTGCATTTCAGAAGAGGGATACCGAGGCTCTCAGCTTGCAGATAAAGCAGACATTTACTGGGGCCTAAAGGAATGAATGTTTTATCTACAATTCAAGAGCGTTGCTCGCCTTCTTTTGAAATCCATTTCTAAGATTGATAGCCAAAGAGCGGCAAATAGTATGATGAAAGCTATCAGCCACTTCTTGAACACATGTCTGAGCGGACGACTAAGACAATAGATGGATAGTAAAACAGATCATCCAATTCCACCTCTCCCCCGTGCTGCGTTCAGTTGAGATGTATGGACTGAGTTGACCATCAGAAGAAATAAAAATGAACTGCAACAGTGTTTAGGTATGACGTAAGATTCAAACAAAGTCACAGGAAGGTTGGTTACTTCACCCTTCGCGTTCACTCAAAACATATTTTCTCACCTACCTCTAATGTCTAGCCATGCAGAAAGTTCAGATTTTCTTTGCTCTGGTTAAAGTAAATTGATCTTTTCAACTTATAATCAAGTATAATCAAGAAAAAATTTCATGCTTTGATGCTCAGAGCATAAAAAAAAAGATTAAAAAAAACAAAGATTCAACAGCAACATCTCTCTCCAGAAACAGTGACCCTGTTACTCCCTGTTAGTTTTTTCGATTAAATCTATTCACAGTGAGGTCTGGGAGTTATCCAGGGTAAATAATAACTCAAAACGATTGTGACCACCCGTCTCACGTACAGTGGTAAAACAACTGAAATACACTAATGTGATGTTTGTGCTGTCTCTTTTCAGTTGTTTACACGCCTAGAAATTGTAGCATGTATTTGCATGCAACCCCAGCTAAACTTCAGTGACAGCTGAGGCATGATGTCAGCAACCTAGTGCTTACAGTACACTGCCGAGGACTTCATAAATATAACAAGCGGCTGCCGATGTGTCCACTCACTTGTCCATACTGATATTAAGTGCTCCATGTGGGTAATCTGAATTTGTGGTGTAGCTTTTTCTGAGCAGTTATGATTTGCGCCATATACATTTCACTGTGAGGACAGATAGACAGCCTGTATTGGACAGGTTTGCACAGAGCCTCCTCCTCTTTGATTTCCTGTCTTTGGGTTCCTCTCAGCTTCCATCCACGCACCTGTAACTCATTTGGCTCATGCCTTGTAGTACTTAAGGGTCTGTGTTTTACCTCAATACCCTGTTGAAGGCTTTCACCTGAAACACGTTGGTTAATTTTTTTTTTTTTTTTTTCCCCATTTGTTTGCAATTGCCAAGGCCCTGAACATCAAAGAGCACCTTTGTTCAATGAAAGTAATTTAGGGGGGAAAAAAACAGCTTTTCCTGTTTGGCAAAGCAAAGACATACTCCAGTTTTTTCCTGTTTTTCTTTTCTTTCAAAAGGGCTGTGGTTAACTTTTAAAAAATATGAAAGTCATAACACAATCACCACAAAGCTTTGTGAACACCTTGGGCCCCAAGCTTAACCAACAACAGTGATGCCTTTTTCTGTAGTCTTTGTTTTCACCACAACACTTTTAAAATATCACATCTCATTCAATCTCTGTGAAGTCTATTTAAAGAAATCTGATGAAAATGAAAACTGGACCTGTTACTTTCTCTGTGCTTTGTGCAGTTTCTTTGACAATGTGACATGGATTGGCATAATGTAAACTTTCTTTGATAGGATTATCTCATGTAAAATAAGCTACCACAGTGATCAGTATTAATGTATTTAAAAGAGAGCAGGACTGGGAATAGTGGGTTTTCTGCTCATCAGTGTAACAGCTGTTAAAGACTTATAGAATCGTGTCGATGCAGAAATGTCTGAGACAGATATCTTTAAAACTGGAGACTGTTCGCATGGCTTGATACCAGCAGATATTATGTTTTGAAATTTGGTAGAAACAACCCTTTCTGATTTCATTACCAGCATCAACTGTGATTCTTCAGACAGAGGAAACTTTTTCCATTCTTCCCTTACAGACTGTTGATGATTATATAGTCACTGTAACTTTTAGTTCCTCGCCGTCATGAGTGGAACACGGCATGATCCCCCTCCGCTGTAGCCCGTCCACTTCAACATTTGACGAGCTGTTTGTTTTCAGATTCTGCACCATCGTCGTCCTGAGCTGTTGTTTGCATGTGGGCATTTTGTTTGCTCGAATGATTCTTGCCACTCATTCTCTCGTCTCTCACAATAAGATGTTTTGTGCCCACAAGACTGCTGCTGACTGCATGTGTTTTGTTTATTCCTCTATTATTGGTAAACTGTGGTGAGTGAAAGTTGTAGGAGATCTAGTGTGGAAATAAATTGAAAACAAGCTCTCGCATCACTTACTTTATACTGATGGCGTACTCAGTGCATTCTTTACTTCTGTGTCGAACCAGATAGGTGCTGTTTCCTCGGTCCAGGAGCTCCACCTCAGCCTGGTATCTCTCCATGGGCCCTGCAAACCTGAACCACCCATGAACAACTACTGCACTTACACTGCAATCAATCATTCTGAACATGAGGATGAGAACAGTCAATACAATCAATAAAATAGAGTAAGAATGACTTGTGGTTATTGTTAGCAATCTACAGTCATTTGTTTTCGTCACTTACCAGAGCTGGGCAGAGTAATCGACAGGTTTTGGAACCTGACATAGAAAAGAATTGTGGTTATTTTGTGCTTTAATGGAGTCGATACAGGGGGGTGGAGGTCATTTGTGGTAATATGATATTCAAGCCACATCTAATGGCTAAAATCAGTCTTCTACAGAGAAAAAAAGTGCAATTGAAAAGCACTACATTCCTTTGCTAAGACATCGCTACTAGCCATTATCCACTGAATGCATTGTAATCACACTCAATGTGTCTTATTGATTACAAAAAATATGCACACTTACACACGGGCAAGGCCTCACAGCGTCACTTGGAAAGAAGCCAATCTTGCTTGTCGCCAGGATTTTGCCCTGCAACGGCAACTGGCTGTTAATCGCGTTATATTTGTCTGGGAGCAACTACACATCCCTCTCTCTCTTTCTCTGTTCCTTTCCTCTTCCCCTCCCACACTCGCTTCAATAAATCCTCAGCAATTAGCACACAACAAGCAGTGCATCTAATTTGCAGCCCAAGTTAATTATGGTTCAAACTCTGCCGGCAGTTAGATTTGTGCTGCATCAAAACAAGAGCCTCGTTTAACACTAAATAATGGATCTTATTCTGGTCTTTGAATATCCAAACAGCATGAGCTCTTTGGCTCACGCTAAAGCCTACCAATTGCATTTTAGTGAACCCGCCTCAAGCAAACACAAGCTTTATATGAAAATCATTAATTCTTTCAACAAACATAGTGTAGACAGACTTTTTTTTCCCCAGCTAAATAAACCAATTTGGTAAAACGAATTACTTAATTTTTATATGGACTCGCTCATACATTCGGTTGGTTCGGTTTACTGATTATAACCTTAAATCTCTATCGTGTCCATTATCTTGTAGGCAGTGATAAACATATATATCAACATTAGGCTCAAGATAATTTAAGTATCCAGCTCTGAGCTCGAGGTCAATTTGAAGTCCATTGAGTCAATCTGAGAAGACAGTGAGTGTTGAGGGCACGTGGAGCTCTTCATTCAGCTTCCTGCCCTGTTTATGCTTTCCTCCTCACTCCTCTTTATTAGAGTAAGAAATGCTTTTTGGGACCGTGCAAGCTCTGGCAGTAACTAGATTGGAAAGCGAATCTTTACCCATCTCTATGATTCATTCTGTGTAATAACATTTCATCAAAGGTTTTTTGAGAGCCCCTCTCTATTTGTTATGCCTTCAATAAGCGTATGATAAAGATTAAACTTATTACTCTGTTGGCATAAACAGGCAGTAGTCAAAGGATCAAATGAAATTATAGTGATTGATTGTATTGTTCTGCCAGTGGGATGGGGGATAATTGCCTTCTGGGTAACAGGGGATATGAATTCTCAATGTTCTGTAATTCCATCCTCTGGCGCCACTGGGGACGCTGAAGATTAAAGGTACCCTGTGGAGCTTTCATTGTAAACAAACACAGTTTTGTTTGGATTCAGTGTTTCTCACCAAAACGCATTGTGTGTGACCATAAGACCTAACAAACTTGTTGAAAACACTTGCAAAGCCTTCTTTTGTTTGTTTTGAAACTTGTATTGTATCTTGCATTGTGTCTATCAGATTGTGGTTTTCTTAATCTTCTTCTCTTTTTATTACCACATCTTGCATTTTGCAGCTCATTTCCACCACCAGCTATTGATATGCATCACTGCCTCCTGCGACAACATGTTGATCCCAGTTCCAAGTGGGATCCCAATTGCATTCAATTAAATAAACAATGCTTCAATCATGATTGATACAATGTCAAAATAAATAAATTTCTAGTTTAGAGGCCATGTGCAGGTGTTACTTTTTTTATTAACATTGCTGTCCAACAGTGTTGCACCTGTGATGCGAGTAAAACTGCACTGCCCGACAAAGGCAAACACAGTAAGCTAACTGGAATTTGACTTTTTGTTTTACCATATAACAAATTATTATGCTATAATTTCTGTGAAAACAATATGTAAAATGTGCAGTAACTAAAAAGATAAATACATGGCTAAATAGCTAAATATCAAGCCAAACCGCACTAACACTACACAACTAGACAGTTCCAACAGAAGAGCTCTGCTGAGTGAATTAGCCATGGCTACTCACTAAAGCTAAAAATATTTTGATCACTTATTTTTCTCAAGCTATTACCTAAAATATCAACTTTATATCGACCATCATCTTAGTATGCAATTTGTTATTCCTCATAACTTGATGAGACAGTAGCTATGTCCAGTCATGAGAGAGAAAACCACAGCTAAACTAGTTCCTTTTCTCAACTTCACTGCCTCTGTAGTTTCTGCTCTCTGCTCTAATATGGGCTCTGACAGAAAACATAATATCAACAGTGTGTTCCTGTGTGAGCCTGTTGATCAGAATATTGCTCTGCAGCACCACTAGTGGTTAAAACCACCACAGGGCAGCCTCAGGTTGCCTTATTACAGTATCATTATGCACAGAACAAGAATACTCAAATGCATATTGTCATTTAAATCCTTTGATTATCCCCTCTCACCATGCATGGTAACCATGGCAGCAATCAGTGCAGTGCCATCAGGTCTGTGGCATGACATTCTGCTAGCTGTTCTACCGGCTTACAAGAAGTCTCCTGGCATTCATGTCCTCACCCTCCACCTTGTGCTCTGTCACAACAGAGAGAAACATGGAGCACAGGAAATCGGGCTAACTGCCTACTCCCAGCCGTGCCGTTGGCAAAGACTGCAGTCTGATTGGAGCAGCACCAGAAGGAGGATGAGGCTTTAATGCCGCCGTAAAGCAGCAGTGAAAAGCAGCTAGGGAGGCTGCCGGAAGACCCCAGATAAATCGGCCATCCTTTCAAAAATAGATAAGGTCAAACACTCTCAACCGTTTGGCTGACCTCGTGAGGTGGTTGCTAAATGTGCCTGTACATGAGGTTGTGCACCACCATTAAAACATCTTCCAGAGGCTGAAGTGTCGGCTGTTTTATTGTCTCAGTGTGGCACTCAATTAATCAACTGAAGCCACTAATTGGTTAGATCATCAGATGGAGGCTGTGATTCAATCTGATGAGAAAAAAAAAAAGACAAACACCCCATTTGTAATGTAACTGGGGTTCAGTGAAGTTCATATCGATCTTCGTCTGATATTTCTAATTGAGGCTGACCTCATCATAATGTCACATTTATGGCTGTCGGGACACAGAATGTGACAAACAACCACAATACAATTAGTGATTTATAAAAAACAATGGCCAAAAGGGAGGGAAATTAATGATCTCACTGCATTAATATTTTTTTGAAAGCTTTTTTTTTTTCTCCTTTATAACATAGTGGGAAATCCAGTATTAGAGAGAAGAGATGACATGCAGCGTGGATTCAAACCCATGACACTGCAAAGACATCGCGTGCACCGAGCCAACCCGGTGAGCCATAACATGTTATTTTTTCATAGAGCCACAGATGTTGAGATAAAACGAGGATGAGCTGAGTGACACGCACCTGCCACCAGGAGCTGTGTAGGTCGGCAAACATCAGTTCAATGACATCCCCCGCATGAATGCTTAGTGGGGGCCCATACTGGGGATAGGGGAGGCCACTGTAGTCTCTGATCACAACCATCCTGGGTAAACCTAGCAGACAGGGAACACAAACACATTTACACTCTGACTTTTGTACATTTATCAGAGTCATATATACAGCAGTGCAACAGCGGTAATGTCTTGTATAGTCGGAATGGTTCATCAGCATTAGCTCTGGGTAATACATTAGAAATACCGTAACCACGTATGACGGAGAGACTTTCTGAAAATGCATAAGTAAGATAATGAAGATAGAGTGTTGTGTTTCTCAGACTATGATTAAAATGGAAGTTCAGATACTGTAAGTATTCTGCTAGATGTGTAGAGTTAACACTGCATTTAAAACCAACAAATCAATAAAAAAAAACAAATACTACAACAGACTGAAATGATTCTAATGCTTAAAGTCCACAGGTTACTGTTAGTCTCATCAGACCCAACTACAACCTGGACCATGTACACATTTTACCAGTAATTTCGAATTTATATTTTGATGTACTTTCTGTTTTTCTTGTTTTGCTCTTTCTGACCTTTTCTCACTGAGAACATTTTTTTCATTAAATTCCTACCCGGTAAAATATCACATGGGCATTATGATGAACCCCTTTTACCCTAATTGATTAAATTTAAAAAAATCAGTTGATTTGTTTGATTTATAGGCTGATTTATATGACTGTCACAGGTTCAGTAATGCTGGTGTGGGGGGGTGAAAATGGAGAGGTATCAATGAAAACTGTAAATTTAGTGTTCTATTGGTAATGCAGAGAACATGGACATTGTTTCTGGAAGATGTCTTTATGATTTTAATTTTGATGATTATTTTTATTTTTCACCTGTGGTCAGAAGCTTGCTCTGGTCCACCTGTAACTATATGGTCCAGTAATGTCACAGTGTACTCACCCTGCAGTTCACTTTTACATCTCTGCAGGAGGGTGATAAATTTAACCACTGGGGGTAGGTGAACGCAAGATTTTTTTGGCTGCTGTAAAGGTGTTCTTTAAATGTAATTCTCACTGCTACGAGCACCACACGAGAAAACTTTCAATCAGAACTCCATTGTACTGAGGTGACAGCAGAAATCTCAAAACCCGAACTAAGAAAACCAAAAGGTCGAGATAATAATAAAGGCAAGTGAGAAAATATGCAGTTTGTAGTGCCAGCCATTTAGTAATTATTTGCACTAATCATGTGCGTAAAGCAAATTCACAATTGATGAATGTGGGACTTCTTTTGATTGAGGTTTAAACCACCGAAATGGCACCGTCCCTAAAAAGCAGCAATTTACTATAGAGAAAAATTCATGTCTTTGATTCCTGAACGGCGCAGCACCAATCTTTCCTCGGCGTGGCAGACAAAATACAGCCACAAGCATCCGGCTAAAGCTAAGACTAAACACCCTTGCCAACTTAAAAGACACAGCCACTTACTCTCCTCTGACTCACACATCTAGCCCCCTCAGACACATCTCCCTTCCAGCCACGGCTCCGTAGCAAACCAGCCCGAGGAAACTATTACGGTGACCTCAGATTAATGGAATATCTCACATTCATGTTTTTAATAAGAACAATAAGCACGGCTGTCTTTCTCATAAAGCCCCTTATGGAAATTGATTTATCACGAAGGCACAGCTCAGCGGTTGAGGCCGAGGCATATAGACTGCTGGAAGTGCTTTTCTGCCAGTATTTCTCCTGCCGCGGTTCTCATAATGATTCCACCTACTCCAATTCATCTCAATGCCGTCTAGGGTTTAGGAATCACGGCATGCGGTGAGAAAAGGGCTTTTTTTGTGCTTTGGTTAAGGATTCCTTTTGCAACCTGTTATTCATTGGTTATTCTAACTCAAATATATTTGTCAAGAGGAAACTGCAGTTGCTCATTTCCTCCTTTGAACCCCGTGGATAAATTCATGTCAGGGAGCATTTCTAAGAGACATCTTCAGGGTTTTTGTGGCAAAAAGAGGGAGCTGAGTAATATTTGATCAGAGACATGGGTAGGGTGTGATAACATCTGAGGGTTAGCTTTAAAGCACCATCTATCTGCTCCAGGTCTCACTTTGGCCTCTGACTAACCGTCTCCTTTTCATCCTGTCTGTGTTTCTGTTTTGCTACAGAAACCAAGATAAAAGGAGCTTAAGAGGTACCACGTAAAGCCCTCAGCAGGTTAACAAAAGCATTCAAGTGGTCAAGGCATACTGACCTGGGTCCGGTGGTGCTGTGTTTTCCTGTGAACAGAGAGAGAAAGCATGAAGCAAGACAGAGGAAAGGGAAAAGAAGAGAAGAAGAAGAAGAAGAAGAAATGAAGGGACTGATAAATAAAGAGAGGTCATTCTTAATCCCTGTACTGGATCAGCCTGACCTGAGGAGTCAGTCATAGCCCACTCTTAAAACTATCATCTGTGAGTGGTATAATCTTTCGATGTATGGTCTGAGCATTTTAAAAGTGAAAGATAGACATCAAGAGTGAAATATAGGAATTCTGTTTCTGAGCAGTTCTCTTTAAACTTTAATACATACACACTGGATCTTTTTATCTACATTTTGTCCTTCACCCACCAGGGTATCATACAGTGATCATTTTCTAAACACATGACAGGTGATTGATATGGAGCTTTGAGTGTGCCACTGGAATAAGAATATATCGACTCTTATAGTGTAATTATATTTTATGGTTAAATCGTGATAAAAACTATAGGAAGAACTATGACTGGCCAGCTGTTATGTGCTGATAGGAGTCTGGCCAATCAGAGCTCCTGCTCTCACTCTGTGGGATGGACTTCATTAAATTTTGATGCGGCGCAGGGCTTACAATTAAATAAAGCAATCTTCAAATTAACACAATCAAGAAATGTTGCAGGAGGGGTGAGGGCATTTTAATATGCTTTGATTATCATGTATTTGATTGTAATGTTTTTAATGCACCATTTAAATCCAAATGTAAATAATCATTTAGCTATATTAGCTAGAATAGCTTTTAAAACATCCCATTGTATTAACTGATTATAATTGCAAAGAGTCTGTACTATTGTGGTGGCACACTCCGGTGCATGCGGACATGTGTGGGTGTATATTATATTATCTGCTGTGTTGTGCCTCACTAATTATGTTAGCTTTGGTGTCTAAGTCAAAGAGCAGTAACAGTCCAGGTCTCACCTTGGGTCTCGGCTTGGCAGAATCTGCAGTCAGGTGAGAGACAGACACAGACAGGGGAATACAATATGAGTGTGTGGTGGCTTCCTGACATACAACCTCAACTGTCAACCTCGGCTGGCCCTCATCACGCCTCAGAATGCATAAAGACCGCAGTGCCTCGGCTAAGAAGGCTTGTCAAAGGCCAGAGCTGCCTTTAGCTGTCTGTGTATGCAGGGAAGGTAATGTACCTGAGCTCAAGCACCAGGCTGGTGACAAAGAGCTACGGCTTGACACAGGAGTAAGATGCAACAACTGCTAAATATCTATATAACACAGTATATTAGCTTTCAATTAACCAACTGCTGAAAATTTAAAAGAGTCAGAGTGTAACTTGCCATTTTTCTAATACAGGATTCACATGAAGGCGGTACAAGAGGAACGCTCGTGGAGTGCTCAAAATGTAACGAGGTGCTCCTCTAGGGAGCATGAATGTGCTCAGTAAATTTCATGGCGATCTGCATTTTAGATTTTGATATTTTGTGTGGATAAGTGGAAATATTGCCCTGATGATGGCGCTAGAGTAAAGGTCACCAAAAAATGTGGATTTAGGGGACACGAGTATGCAGAGTGAATATCTTAGAAATGCAAGTAGTTTTCAAGATAACTTGTGATGGGCCAAAAAAGTGAAAAAGAGTTTGGTAAGGCTCCATCTCACCTGTTCTCCCACACACTCCCAGTCGACCTAGACACTCCTTATGAGCCCCCAGCCCACATTTGAGACAGAGATAACCCTGGTTAAAGATGCCCCTGCAGACAATAAAACACAGGATATATTTCATTTATAACGGCCTCCTCAAGAGAAATACCTTGACATTTTGGATTTTCAGGCTTCTGTCACACTCTCAAGAAAAGAAAAATGACACAGGAAATGTCCTTCAGCTTTCCAGAACCATAAAACTGATACTGTCCACTGAAAACGGACATACTTAACTGTCTATACAACAGTATACCAACTATTTATTTCAATTAAAACCCAGCGATAAGAAGCTATTTTCACTTAAGGACTAAATCTAAATAAAGAAAATTTAAGGAAAAGGAAAACTGGCTGAAGACTGATTTTCCGAAGAACAGAAAAACACCATCAGTGCAATAAGACATGGTGGTTCGCCCTCCTAGAACAACATGTGTAGTTACAGTTTCTATCTTCAGCCGGTCTCAGTTGTGGGCTTGAGTACCACATGGCAACTTTATTACTCTCCCTCAACTTCATCAGTTCTAGATAATTATCCAAAATAGAAGGGGTTCTTCACAATGCCTGAATCGTACCTGAGCAAGAGGTGACAGAAGCTACAGGAAGTGATCCTTTCAAATGTGTGCATCTTGAACTGGTGGGAGTTGTGGCTGGCTTTTTCTGGCCGGATATTTGATCTGAAACATAGAATAAGAGGGGAAAAAAAAGTTAGTAAGATTCATCCTCTGGGATCCATAGGTGCCTGTACAAAATGTCTTGGCAATCTATCCAATAGTTGTTGAGACATTTCAGTCTGGACCAAAGTTGTGCACTGATTGATCAACAGGCAGACCCTTAGAACCAAGCTGTTAGCGTGTGGTAATTACATTTGCGAGTGTGTCTCAGTTGTGGGAGCAATTTTCTTTCAGTTATCTCAATCTACAAAACATTCTTGATCATTTCTTTATCAAGTAAATAAAATAAGTTTGTTGAGACACAAACAATCTGCAGTTTCTTCCTCCACCTCCACTGACATAAAAGCAATTTCACCCCAAGCACATGTGCACGTGTAAATGAAGAGGACTTGAATCAGCCCAGACAAATCCAATTTTGAGCTGCATGTGTTCAAATATGAGAGGGGAAACATGCACAGCAGACATAAGCAGCCCCCCCTGGAACATGAACAAACACGACTGACACAAAAATGTCTTTTTTTTGTATTGAACACACCATCCAGAAGCCACTTAAACTGAGTGCTCCCCTAAGTGAGTCCTTCATCAGGAGCCCACATCCTTTTTACAGGTACAATTTTCACTTTCTGAATGGGCCCCTTCTGGTGTCAATGCACAGTGGCACAAAGCTGTTTTCAGACACACACCCCATATCTGTGAAAAAAATAAAAAATTTCAAGACAACTGTGAAAATGGTTATTTCGTCTTTGAATTTTGGAAATTACACATCAGGTTTTGAGCAGGTGTCAAGCGCCTCGTGGTCAAAGAAGTGTATGAACTCATACATGACTACAAAAGAAGATTAAAAATGTGCATTGTGTAATGTACACCCCTGCACACGACGTTGTTTTTCTACAATGCAAATATAAAAGAATAATTGAGCACACTATTAGAAGTGAAAACGTATTTAGAAGGGCCATGGCAGACAGCAGACAGCAGTCAGCGTGCAGAACGGGGATATTGTTTTTTATACATATCCACCGCAAACACAAAAGCATTTGTTCAGTCAATCAGAGTGTAATGTCAAAACAACACTGTATTCTCTCAAATCAACATACAAAAGGATTTAGGCAGGATATCTGCTTGCACAAACCTCCTACTTAAAGTTACAAAATAATACAAAAGAAATATATACTTCCATAAAGCACTGATTTGAAGAACCATCGGGGCAGAGTGGCTTCTTTGTAGTTTTGCAGCTCTTTGGAACAGTTTATGTTTAATGTGTGGGTTTGTGTGTATGTGTGGGTATTTGTGTGTGCACGCGTGTGTGTGTGTGTGTTTGTATGTGTGTGTGTGTGTGTTTGTATGTGTGTGTGTGTGTGTTTGTATGTGTGTGTGTGTGTGTTTGTATGTGTGTGTGCGTGTGTTATCGTACTGTTGTCAGGAGTGTGTGCTTGATTGCAGCTAAGACCTGATCAAACAGTGCACATGAAAGAGTCAACACCTCTCTTGACCTTGGAATAACATGCATGCAAACAAAGACAAATAAACACCATACACACACACACACACACACACACACACACACACACACACACACACACACACACACACACACACATGCATACACAGTGAGTTTTTTTCCTATGATACACACGGCGGTCTTCTGTGTTGATTGCAACCTGCCTGAACTGTGGTGTTCATGTGTCTCTGTGTACTCACATAGCCATTTCAAACTGATCCAGCCACTTCTTCTTCAGCTCCCTGGTCTTAAAAAAGAGTTCAAAGCCTGTGTACCCCTGCTGGTGAGTCACGTAGAAGCCGTAGCACCACTGTGGAGGTCAGGGAGAAGACAACAATCAAACCAAATGTATTTTTTTCATGCAAGTGCTGGAACATTTGCATATTTATAAATACCATGGCTAAATTTATACTGTAATGCTTATCTCACAGAATATACACTTTCGGTGGCGGGTGGCGCAGCAGGTCAGTTGTTAGCAATGTTACACAGCAGTCTGAGTTCCATCTTTTTCCGGTTTGCATGTTTTTGTTTTCATTTCCGTCATAAATCTGCAAAACCCTCAGCAGATTGTTATGGTGTATTTGTCGGTTTAAGCGTAAACAGAGCATGATCCTCTGGATCTGGCGGTTACATAAAAAGATGCATGGTTTCAAATACCGGAGGATAGCTGCCGAGATAAATTCTATTTGTGGTATGGCTGTTAAAACTGGAAAGAATAAAATATACCCAAGAATCCCTTGTGTTATTGCAGGTTAATTCCAATGTTTTATAAGTAAAGGTGACGAGTCTGGCAAGCTAATATTGCAGTTTTTAACTCAAAGTCAGAAATTTATAATCTGAAAGTTGTTACCTTGGAGAGAAGAAATATGGATCCCCACAAGGTTTAATCTGTCCAATGGAAAATAAAGCTCTGTTCCCCATGACACATCTAATGCTAAAGAATTATTCCTAACTTAGTTATTCACTTCTTGGCAGAGAGTTAGATGAAAAGATTGATACCATTATCATGTCTGAAAAACTAATTTAAAGCTGCAGTCAGCAGCTGCTTAGCATAGCTTAACATGAAGACTGGGTTGAGGGCAACCTCACTGTGATGGCCAGACTCCACATGGCTAACACACAGTTGGGCACATTACACTTTTGTTTCTCTAAAGAGTTAACAAGATATGACATGTTAATTACAGAGCTTTAGAGGTACTAGCTAAGCATATTTCGTTACATTTCGACAGAGCCAGGCTAACTGTTCCCCACTGTTTCCAATCTTTGTGCTAAACTAACCAGGTGCTAGCATGTAGCTTTAAAGTACACTGGTATTGATCTTCTCATGTAACCGTGCAATGAAATGAATGAGTCTTTTACTCATGTCTGAAGCACAAAAAACAGGCTGATTTCAGAATTTTAAGGGGTGTTGTTTGCCTTTGTTTGAAATTCCATAAACCTGTCATCTCCTCGAAATTAGCCTCCTCTTCACCCTTTCTTCATCACTGTCTGACATATTGTCAAAAATGTGTTATGTCCTATCACACCAGATAGGATAAGAAAGGCAAATATGATTTCAATCAGATGTGCAGCTAGTAATGCTGTCATCAGTCCTCACTGGCTTTAGTTTTTGTGTCGTGGTGCCAAGACTGGTGCCACCAGTCTCACAGACCAACCACAGTGTGTTGGCTGCTGGATCTGCAGCAGTGTGTGTTTAACCAGAACTCTACCCAAAGACAACTTAAGCTGAGGCAGAGTCTCCTAATCCGCCTCAGAGGAACCAAAGCTCAAAAGAAAGTTCAAAAGTCCTACGTTTAGGAGCATTACCAAAACTTCTAAAGTAAAAACCTGCCAAATACTTCAACTATAGCTGCCACGTTTCTTATAGACATCTATTGTATGAAAAAAAACGTGTGTAAAACAGAACGACTGCTTACTTGTTTTCTCTTCAGCAAAACATTCAGCTTGGCAGCTATCCAAAAACAAGCCATAGTTTTCAGCCACTGGCCACAAAGTAGCTCCACTGCAGCACTTACAGGTTAAATGCCCTGCCCATGGACATATTTAAGAGCATTTTTCAATCAATTCCCAAACCTCTCGGCTTTTGCCACCCTAATCCGTTCCAGCTTGTTGTGTCATATCTAATAACAGGAAAAGTGGTAGGGTTTACCCGTCAGTGATTGGCCAGCCCTGCAAAGTCCTGAGTGTTTTAGAGCTCTGCTGAAGTGTTAAATCATTGATGACTGTGTGGGTGCTCAGTGGCACCACATTCACACTCTGAAGTTTCATTTAGCAGAAAATGATATATAGCTATAAGCAGCCTTGGAGGACTGCACACATTCATCACCTGATATTAGCATCTCTGTCCTGCGGTGTGCGTGTGTGTGTGTTTGCGGGTGTGTATTGAGGCAGATGCAGTTGCCTATGTCTGAGAATATTTGTCTTTTCCGTGCTCTTTTCTTTCTCTCTCCCTCACTACAAATGAATTCTTATACATGCGTCTGTGTCTCTCTGTGCAGCACATGATCGATGGAGCTTTATGTTGGGAGGTGGATGGGATAAAAATAAGGGTTAATGACATATCCAGACACAGTCAGCAATATGACACTGTTTGTGTCATTCCATGTTTAGTACAAGATTGTTAATTTAGAAACCGTGTCAGACACAACCATGAATAATGACAAACACACACAGACAAAATACATCCAGACCATGACCGTGCATATACAATACCAGTCTTTGCAATGACATTGTCCCACACAAACACTCAAAACCCAGACACACACATACAAACACACACATCACGACTGAACAATAGAGTAAATGAGGATGATAATGGAGTCCCTTTGATAAAAACCACAGAACCATCCCACTCTGGCAAGCTGTCAGTTTCACGTTAGCAATCAGCACCGGAGTGAGAAGACACCATCTGTGAGCATACATCAACAAGACATCAACAAGTCCCCCTCACTACAATACGGCCCGCAAACCTTCCCACAAGGCGAAAAATAGCACTCTGTATAAACTGTGTGAGGTGACAAAACAGAGCCTTGCAGCTTTCTAAATCAGGATTTACCTGAAAAGATAAAACGCAACTTACCCTGCAACAGCTAATGAGAGGATGTCATTCTGAATTACTCTTATTAGGTATCCTACATTTATTTTAGCAATAAAATCTGCAGCCAAACAGATGCTTCATAGAAACACCCAGTCTTATTTCATAGTACGAACAGTAAATATTAAATTCAAAAATACAAACATGTATTGTGTTTTTCTTCCCAACTGACCTTTTTGCCCTCTCTGTCAGAGGTGGGGTTGTTGGTGATCTTGAAGTAGTTGAGGTCGAGTATGTCCTTCATCTCATAGTTGTCTCCTCGTCTCTTGCAAACAATGACAGCCACATCAAATAAAAAGATGTGTCTGTACAATAAGAAGACAGATAGTTATAGAGCTACAATTTTATATCATTATACTATCACTGTGACCAATTAAAAGTAATAGATTAGAAAGGAAATGATGCATCTTATGACTGTGAATGTATCCGCCTTATTTGGTTTTTATGGACTATAATATTTTTTGTATTTTCTTCTAACTGCAATCCTAATTTCTCTTTAATGACACTGAAACTGAATTAGAACAACCTGTCTTGTTTCCTCTTGTCAACACTGGAGATCATGCGCACCTCTCCGTCTCCTTTTGGCCGACCAAAGGTGATGAGAGGCTGATTCTGAAAGCAAATTAAAGGGGGTTGCGTGAACACCACATGCACAACACAAAGGACACACTTTTCAGACTTGGGCCTCTTTTGTAATATCAGTGTCTCATTTGACTCAAGCCTGATGTGCAAAATATTTGGTCATGTCAATCTTTTTGATGCAGATGGGATCTATCAGACCTTCCTGAATTATCCCATTTAAACCGTTTAAAAGAAGATCTGTGTATTTCTTTATTGACATGAAATAAGAGCTTTTGAGCTTGGGTTTTAACTGAGAATAGCAAGCTCCAATACATTTTAAATGCAATCTGTCTCTATAGTTTCTTTATGTCACACAGTGTTCCATCAGATTTGTCACAGCTTTATCTAGTAGATGTAACCCAAATAAACATTTATTTCAGCAGACATATCTACCAGATCCCCATATTACTCCTCCAGACTGTCATGTAAGTTCTGACACCATCTCTTGTTGTATCTTGTTATCAGCAATGACATTCACTTAGGTCACCAATCTTGTTCAATCAAGACAAGAGGAATGTCTTTATAATCTGACAAGCTCTCTTGCTCTCTTACTCATTGTGCCTTCTGCTGGCTGTTATGCCCCCCCCCCCCCCTCCCCCCCCCCCCAATCTGTTACTGGTTCTATTAAATGATTTCTTCCTTCACCACCTCATCTCAGCCTGCTCTACTTTGTTGTTGCCAAACTTTGTGATGGCATCTCTTGCATTGTGTACGATGTGTATACGAACCATTACAGCTTGCATGTGCTGGGCTCTGTTCTGTTCTGTATGGCCCTGGGGCAAGATTAAACCTACATTCTCTGCCTCATGTGTCATATGAAAGTTTCATTTGATGTTTTAATCACAGTTATAATACATTTATTAGGATACAGTTGCTCTGCATAACATCTTTGAGTCTGCAAGCAAATGTTATTTTCATTGTTGATTAATTTGCTGATTATTACCCTAACTAATCATCTAAACAGAGAAAATTATCATTTGTTTTTGTCCAACCAACTGTCTAAAACCTAAACAGGTTTCAAATTACTATCATATATGACCTCCGAGTTCTTAGACCTCAAGTTAAACTTTATCTTTATTATCCTTCGAAGATAATTCTGAAAAAAAAGAAATACGATAAAGTAAAAAGTAAGCGTATTGCAGGAATGCACAGTAACCTGGAAGTTAAGAAAGTTAACTTTTATCCGTATCAACCCTGCAAGTTTACAGTAAGGACCAGGTGTCTTGTATATTTAATGCAAGTGTCTCAATTGGTTTTTGCTTCCTTTGTTTTCTTCTTTGGCTAATTCCCTCAGACTATTCCAGATTTAGCGGGGAAGACTCACTGGGCAAATCCACTTGCAAAAGCTGACCACTTGCTAAAAGGAAACATGTCTTCCCGATTTTTTTGCACCCTTACAAACTGTACACTAACAGGTGATGATAGTTGTAGAAAAAAGATTTTTGGTTTACCAAGTTTTCGATAGACCTCTGGTACTGTTCGATCTCCCTCAGAGTCTCATTATCTCTCTTCACCTCGTTGACATACTGAGCCAGGTCCTGGGCAGCACAGACACACACAGACACACACGGACACACACAGACGCACAAATGCACACAGATTATTGGGTTTGTTCAGTCTGGAGGTAGTGAAATATGTCGGAAAATTCAGCACGTATCTATTTTGTAAAGCCTAGATGAAAAATATTGATATTCTGTACTGTACATTTAAAGGAATAGTTTGAAAACTTTGGGAAAAACAGATTAAATGTATTCCCTTTCTTGCTGAGAGGATGATAGGATCCCATGCCACTCCTGGAAGCTGGAACCAGGAGATGGTTAGGTTAGCTTAGTTTAGCATAAACACTGGAAACAGAGTCAATCAGACAATCTGTTAAAACTAATAAGTGTCAGTGTAAAAATGATAAGTTGTGATTTCAAGTCCGACACATGACCACCTGAAAATTGACCTTATTGTTTTTACACTTTTATTTTGGTACAGATAAAAAGAAAAAAAATAGCATGTTAGTAAGTGAGGTTTAGAGGTGCTTACCGTTGGACAGAGCCAAGTTGGCTGTTTTCCCACTGCCAGTCATTATGCTAAGCTAAGCTAATCAGTTGTTTCCTGTAGCTTCATAATTAACACACAGATATGGAAGTGGTATGAATCTTCTCTTGGCAAAAAAAAATAAATACACCAAATCCCAAAACCATTCATTTAATTTCAAACATGCATGTCTATGTTGTGCAGTGTTTTGTGTGCTTCTGTGACCAAAGCATGAACACCATTTAAATATTATAGTCCTTTCAGCACTGGCAGAATGAAGAGGGCATTCAGCAGTCACTAATGTGATGGAAATTTAAAATTCTTATCAATACACATCAATCTGAAGTAGTGCAGCATGAATGATTTATGACTTTTTTCCATCTGATAAAAGTTGATAGTTTGTTGTTTGTGGTCTGTTTGGAATTATCCACTAAATCATCCTGCTGCTAGTAACAAGCTGAAATCACAGCGATTACAGACCATTTACCATAAGCACTGCACTTACTTTCATGGCATCAAGAGCGATCCTCAAGTTGCTCTTGTCAGCAGCATCGTGAGTGTGTTTGACTAGCTCCTGTTAGAGGGGGAGAGAGAATTGCATGGACACATTTGGCATGAGTAGCTGGATTATTGATTTGATAATGAAGATGACTTTAAAGTAACTTGTGTGAAAAACTGTTACGCTTATGTTGTTTTCATAGGAAAAAAGTATTTTTTGTACTCTTAGTTTATTCTGATTTGTCAGCAGTAAAAACTGATATTTAGGAAAAGATTGACAAGTATGGTTCAGGTGATAACATACAAATTATATTTTCATACACTAAGAATAAAGGTAAATAGAAAGAGACAGATAGAAAGTTTTTTTTTTTTCTTTTGACTTGTTCTACTTTGTAAGACTACACCAATGTCATTCAGGTGTACAGCAAAAAGCAGGGATGGAATGTAACAAAGAACATTTACTCAAGCACTGTACATAAGTACAATTTTGAGGTACTTGTACTTTATTTGAGTATTTTCATTTTATGCTACTTGTCCGCTACATTTCAGAGGAATATCATGTTGTTTTTAGTGCACTCCATCATTTACAGTTACGAGTTACTTCGCAGGGTAAGATTTAACTTGCAAAACCTGGAATCAGTTAATAAAATATAATGCAGTGTTTTTTAATAAATTACCCAATAAAACTGTAAATAGTTAACACTGGCTCCATCTACTCATTCACTTTAATGAACTGCAAAATAAAGCTAAACTGATAGATAAATAGGATTTCTCTTTCTCTCAAATACAATCAACAAAACATGTATGAATACAGTCATGAAGCTGTGCAGCTTAACACAAATACAGTAGTGGAAAAAAGATTTTCTGACCACCTGCCAACACCCACACACACGTCTATTTGATTAATCAACACATGGAAGTATATTTTACGCTGAGGAACCAATCTGTTGATAACATTTGTCCAGAGGCGCCTGTGGGAAGACTTTGGTTTTATTACCATCAAAACACCAGTCAAACAGCAAAGGCGACAAATAACCTCATACTAGTCCAGACAGACAGTCATGTCAATGTAAATATAATTACATATCATGACATAAAACTCAATTTTCCCATGTGACACCAGTCTCACCATTTTAGCAGGACAGCATATTACAGCACTGAGCTTCATTTTTTGTTGCAGCTTACATTGGACTTTTGCTTATTTCTAGACAGATGCTGCTTGTTAATAACAGATGCTGCCGACACTGTATTTGCTATATGTAACGTGTGTGTTATGTGTACTAGAAAATTATATCATCAAGATTTAATCATAGTTACAGTGCTATGTACATTACAGGTGCTTAATATCAAAGATGTGTGGAATTACTTAAGGTGTGTTTACCCTTCATTACCTTTCTAATAACATTACAAAATGAAGAGCTTAACTCTTCCTTCGTGTGCTGAAAGCTACAGCGCTGCTGTATCTACTCTCACTTAATTTCCGCTTCACCACTTGCTCTTCACTTTCTTCCCTTTTTGCTCCATTCCCCTCTCCTCAAGGGGGTGGTTGACAACACCACCATTTACCATGCAGGCCTTTACCCTCTGCAACAATTTAAAACAGCTCTCTAGTCATTGTCCTGATCTGTCCTCTCAGTTATAGTCTGACCTCTGATTCATACTAACCAGGGGAGTGTCACACAGTTATCGGGAAATTAAATTGGGGAACTTTGAAAAGCTGCATTTCTGTTTTTACAGGAAGCAAAAGGGTACAAAACATGTCTAAGAACTATAATCAGACATCAAATAAATATGAAATCTAGTTATGATTTCAATTGTACATAATTTTTTCATCAGATGACAGACACTCTTTAAAAATATTTGTTTGAGGAACATTGTAGAAATTCTGCAAGCTGAAATGTCTAGAGCCAAACTGGCAAAGTGAAATTAGAGAAAGAAGAAGAAAATGCTCGACTCGTCAATGTCAATGAGACTTGTCAAAAGACATGCTTTTTTGCAGTGTGGATCTGCTCAGAGGTTGTGAAGGGCGGCAAATATGTGGAGAATGTCGCCACCAAGTGGACACTTTTATACTACATGAGCAATATCCTGCATGTTGAATCAGCTGTAATAAACGCTGACAAAATGACAAAGTTTGAACTCCTCCAACAGCAGGTAATATCTGGGCAATATGGATACTCATTTCTGCCCCAGCAACTACTGTGATGTGTGATGTGAGAAAGGCACGAGAGCCCTAAATTTTCCATTGGATGTATAAAGTAATAATTCTGTCAAAATAAAAGTATATTGCCAAAGGTCAAGTCAAATCTCCAGAATCATATTAGTGATTAACAAACCAGTCAGAAGGAGCTAACTTTAACATGAGCTGGTGGTGTTTCTTAAAAAGACTGTTGAGAAAGTCTCAGTCTGACGCTCCTGCCTCAATCAACAGAATCATACCTGAAGAAGGAGATGATACTTGAGGACTCTCTGCATCGGGACAACCAGCAGGTCCCTCAGTGTAAACTTCCCATTGTTGGCCCTTTTGGAACACTCCTGGAATAAATACAACACACAACACATTTGTGTCATTTTATTTTGTGTTACTGAGATTTTTCACAAGGATGGGTCAACCAAGGGACAAAACAATGCATTTGTTCACAGCTTGTGTCTGTTCACGTTTTTATTTTAGGGCCCACAGTTGTCAGAAAGCCGATCTATAAAGTTGAGTGTGGCCTAGTTTTGTATTCTTTTCTACAATCGAGTATATTCTACTTTATATATACACTATAAGAGCCTACACAGAGCTCAGAGCTTTTGTTATAAGCTATAATGTAGCTATTTCTTTTTTCTAACATTTATTTTTATTAAAAATCCATCACATGAAATCAATTGTTACTAAAATAGCATAGTATCTTTTTTCATTTTACAATTTTGTCAAGGCTGGATTGAACAAGACACAATGCAATAAAAATAGTCATAGTGTATGTGTAGCGCACAAAATATACACTAGGGGCCACTGGAAAACTAAATCTATGCATATGAGGGGTTGTGTGTAAATGTGTGTTATTGACAGGCCAACTTCTTCAGGTGTCTAACCTCCAGCTTCAGGCGGACATCCTCTTTCTCTTTGCAAATGAGGTCTAAAACAGCGATGGCGATCTCCACTCGGCTGCAGTATATTCCGTAAATGAGCAGTCTACGATCCAGAGGAAAGGGTTAGTGAGGCCATGACAACTAATTTACACCAAGTGAGTGAGTTCAAAAGTGATATGGTGCTTACAGAAAATATTAGATATGATATTATATATGTCATGTTGCAATCAAGTTGCTCATGGTAAAGATAGACTCCAGAGATTCTCTGATACAGAATGTGTTACAGGACAGTCATCTACACTACATCATGATACTTATATAACTGACAAGGACATCTTCCCTCTAATATAAGAGGGTAATTTCTCAAACAATAAAAAACTATCAAATACATTGTGTGAATGATGTTCACCATGAATTTTATACACATACAATTTTTTAACACAGATAGCAACAAGCTTGTCACATAATTCAAATGTAAAACTGGTGAATGGCTAACAGCCTGCGTGCAGAACAGCTGCACAGTTAAAATGTCAGATGTAAAAGGAGTATAGACAATATATCACAACTTTTCTGCCAGTGTGTCAATAGCAAATTGTAAGGGAAAGTACAGTGGTCCGGTGAACCTAAAATGAAACCTTCTGCGCACGTAAAGCCGATTACTGAGGCATAACTGCCTTTTGACTTACATATCAACACACCTCATGGGCCTCACGTACAAGAATCTTGTGAGGAGAAGCAGCATCAAAAGTGCACTTTCATACTTTCTCCTGCAAACTAACAATAAATATAAATGAGTGTTGTTCATGATTACCTCTCTTTGTAGCTGATAAAAATCTGGTAGAGATTTAAGGCATTTTTGTTCAAGATGGAGTCCTGCACATCAACCATCAGGCTCTTGTGAACTTTAACCAGGTCCTGGGTGAGAGAGGGAAGCCATCAGCATCTAGGCAAGGACATGTTATTTTCATGTCATGTGACAAGAAGGGAAACTTGTGGGACTTACTGGAATGTTGACAAAAACTTTATCAATTTCAGCTGCAGAGAAGAACTTCTTCAGAGGATTCAGGAAATACTGGGGAAAGAAACAATTTAAAAAAAAAAAAACCCCAAATGAAACCTCTTAACATCACTCCTCGTATTCTTTCACTTACTGATTATTTAGCTGGAAGCTATAAACAATGTGAAAGGTAATTCGTAATAATCAGTGACATAACTGCAACAGCTTTGGTGTACTCATATTGAAAGCAATAACAGACTTCATATCAGATGTCAGATAGCAAGCTGATAGGGAATTGATAACTGTGAATTTCCCTCAAATGCCCCTAAAACACCTGTCATGCCTACTGTGCTGTACAAATGCTGTTAAAATAATATCATTGAATTGCTTAAATCAGATTAAGATAGAAACCTACCATTAGCCATTTAACAATATGCAATTTCAATGCAGAGACTATTAAACGAGGTTCAGTACCTTCTCGATGGACTCCAGGGTCTCTGTGTATTTCTCCTCCGTCTGTTTGATCTCCGTAAGGCAGCAGCTCCTCACATCTACCTCTGCCTGCTTCTAGAAAGACATACAAGTTAGCAAATGTTCCTTTTATATTACTATCTGATGGAGAAACATGTGATTTGCTTTTGTATGTTTAGCTGCAAACAAGAAAGAAGAGTGAGGAAAGAAGGTGTATATTCAGTGTATTCAGACGAAATCACAAATGATGGAACTCTTCCTCTGGAACTTCTTTTTTAAAATAAACTATTTACAAGCTACAGTGTTTTCAAAAAAAGTAGTATTATTACATATGACCTGTAAATATTTGCTTTACTTTTGATAATACTATCATTTATAGTATATTTTAGGAGTATTGTACTAATTTTGTATCTTTTATTATCTGATATGATTTTGGTCAATCAGGAATATATAACCAAATCTTCAGTGATTTTGTCTCAGTTGGTTTATGGCTGGTTTCATTTACATCCCCTGAAAACATTCATGTTAACAGTTAAACGCAAACAAAAAATGTTATTGTATATTTTTACAAGTACAATTGCATCATTGGCATACACTTGACAGGTAACATGAAGGGTAGGTAACTGTAAGTAATAACTGCCCTAAAATAGACCCCTGTGGTACTCTACAGAAAAGTAGCTAAATACATTTACTGAAGTACTATTTTAACGTCCTTGTAATTGGGTATTTGAGTATCTCCATTTAATCCTACCTAACACACGTACTCCTCTACATTTCAGTGAAGAAAGTTTTATATCTACCACATTCATATGACATCTATAGTTATTAGTTGCTCATATTATATCGAAATGTATTACATCATAAATATGACACATTGTTACAGATTAAGCAACACAACCATATAAATAAAATGGTCAACATTAGCTACACCTTTACTAGCTACAATATTAAAATGCTGCTTACATGTACATGCATCAATATAATGATATAGCACTGTGAGAAGGGTCATTTTGCATTATGAGTAATTTCACTTTGGACACTTAAAGTACATTTTGTTGGTAATACTTTTAATGCAGGACTTTTACTTGTGATGGAGTATTTTTACATTGTTGTATTGCTACTTATATTTATGTAAAAACTCTCAGTACTTAAATACATCCTGATGCTGAGTTACAGAAGAGGACTGTATACACAAATTAAAATATTGTGGGTTATAATCCAACAACATCCCACCCCCCTGAAGCTGGAATATTAAACGTGTTCATGTGTGTGTGTGTGTGTGTGTGTGCATGTGTGTGCGGCTGGCTCATAGTGGTACCAGTGGGGGAGGCTGCTCGGTTCTCATGAGATCTTCATAGATCTCTCCCCCTGCGTAGTCTTCCTCCAGCCCATAGACCGCTGCGTACAAGTCATCCTCGTCCTCAAGGACATTCTCACTGTAACACACGTGCGTATACAGACACGCATATTAACATCTCTAAAATGTGTTGATTATCAGTCACAAATTACAATGTAATACATCGAAAATCAAGACTTGGCTGCTCTTTCTTTCATACTCTAGTAGTAGTAATGGAATTGAATGAAATGAATGAAAAACTTCAGAGAGGCATAATGCACAATTCAAAGAAATCATGATATGAAATTCTGATGTGACATGAAAATAATACAAATACTACATTTGTGCTATACATATATTATTACCAGTATTCCTCTTAACAATCAATCAAGCTGTCAACAGCACCCATCCAGAACCTTGATGTGGGTGGTATGCAAGCACTCAGCAAAAACATGCAGAATTACTCATTCATTTCCTCTGACAGTAACAGAGAAACGGAGCCAAGCCTTTTACCAAAACATGTGGGTGTCCAGACCCCTGGAGAGCATGGATGATGAGCAGAGTTGGTTCTGCTACTGAGCAAAATAATCATGTTCTATCAACACCATTAATGGGCCCACAGAGAGGAGCTTCATACATACTCAATCAAATCCTCCAGATTATTGCAAATGTCCTCGTCTTTTAGGCTCTCCTCTGTTGGAAATGGCCTAGAAATGACAGCAAAGAGGTTCAGTGTTCAACAGAAAAATCACTATGAAAAAACTATTGATGAGTGACTTAGGGCAGGAAACTAACTTTTGATGTATCAAAAATCTATTATAATTTGTGCAGCAGCCAAAAATTCTTTGTTAAAACAGAAAAGCTGTTGCAAATTTCCCCACCGCAGGACTAATAAGGGACTATATTATCCCTTATATTAAAAGGACATGGACTGGTTACAACTAGAGTGGAATAATTTACAGATTTACTAGTGCAGCTTTAAAAAAACAGCAAGTGGGGCCATATGCCTAATTTTATTAAGATGGATTTGCAATTCCCACATTGCTAAGTTCAAAAACAGAGGAAAATTTTACATAATGCAAATGTAAAGTAGTTCAAATTAATAGTAATAGAAATTTTGTTATTATAAAATTATTATTATAGAATTATATTATATTATATTATATATTTCTTATTCCCATGGCTTACTGCTGTTTTTAAAAACTTAAATAAACTGATTGTTCGTTGTTTATAGTGTTTGGGAATTGGGCATTTTCATTTCTTGTAATAAGGCACAACACCTAGTAAAACTGGAAATTACTGTGTGAGGTGTGGCTAAGTGTGGCTATAATGTCGGTAAGGGGAGGAGGAGATGGAGGTGAAGCGTAGGTGTATGGTAAAAACAAAAAATTGCATGCCTTCGATAACTTTAAATCAAATGTTAAATGTTTTTAACATTGTGTGACTTACTTGAATCCTGCTTGCTGTGCAGTCGTTGTGTAAGAGAGCTTGGACAGCATGTCCATAACCTGGAGAAACAAAGTGTCAAATCATGTTCACGAATGGCTCGACAGAGAGACGGAGTGTGAGAGAGACAGAGACAGAAAAACAGATTTGCTGTGCTAATGCAATAGTTATTGTAATTACCAGGGTCTGACTTCACATCAACATTCAAATCATAATTACAGCTGGGAATATCAGATTTTTCTCAAAGCTCAGATATATAGTATCTAACTCTCAGTAATACAAGACTGCCAGAAACCCAAACAAAAATGAATGCCTCATGTAAGCCAAAGTCCACTGTTTAAGGTTTTAATGGACATTGTATTGTATTTTCACTGCTCAGTATTATTGTGTTTTTTGATGCTCACAAATTATAACCATGGGAATCTGCAGAAGCCATAGAAATCACTTGAAAATGCCACAGCAACAACTATTTTAGAAAATACACTTAAAACCGTATATCACCAAGTAACACCTTAATAAACACAAAGCAACCAATAGCTACCCTTAAGCAACCATTTAGCAGCCACTATTTGAAAGCAACATAGCAACCACCAATAAACACACTAGATACAACCTATTAGCAATGACTTAGCAACCAACTAGTTAATACAAGACCTTCATAACACCGTAACAGCTATTCAGCATACATATGCTTAGCAGTGTCCCAGCAGGTAGAAACACATTAGCTACAACCATGATAATACTGAGTTGGGAAGCCTTGCTAGCTAAGTGGTTAAGATACTGACCATGAACTGCAACACCTTCAAGTCTAAACTGACCTGGGACTTTTGATTTCTATCTCTCTCTCGCTCTCTCTCTCTCTCTCTCATTTCTATTGCTATCTTATAATGATATAAAATGCCCAAAAAGTAATTAAAGAAAAGTGTGTGTTAAAAACAAGCTAGCAACAACAGATTCATTAACCTCCCGCAGCTGCAAAAAGCATTAAAAATCCATCAAGTTTTGCATCATAATTGCTATGTAGCTAATAATGTATTCTTGATCACAACTCTGTGTTAATCACATCATTTATAACATTTTTTCCTCATTGGCTGTGCTTTGGTAGAAGGACCTGCTTGCTATTGTAGGGTGTGTACATACTCATTGAAAAACAACACGGCTATATATATTTTTTTTTTTTTACAATGTTTTGGGGACCTAAAAAAGACATTTGGAAGAATTCTTGCGTGTTTGGTGTTAAAATTAGATTATAAGGTTTAACTTTTTAAACAGCAGAATTACTATTTTGGCCTCTGCAGAATGACAGATATGAACATTCAATTTATAACATGGTGTAAGAACTCTCGTTATACTTTTTTTATGGTGCTCTGGGGATTCAAAATACACTTTGTAAGTAGGCCACACTAACCACGGCAGTTGGACTTCAGCTCATCTTGTGGGTTTGCTTCTCAGCTCACATGTGGTTTAAACTGAGTCTCGGATCATCAGACAAGGTATGAGAACAACTTCTTTTCAAGACAGCCTAAAAGGATTTGTATTTCATTACACAGAGTAAACAAATGTTTGATTTTTTTCCTTCTCCCTTAGAGAACTGATATTCTACTTTTTCTTCTTCAGTTATTCTCCTTTTGCACTACAGTTGTTTGAAAAGAAAAACCAGACCTGCACACAGACCGGCCTAAACTATCACTAGTGTTAAATCAGTTGTGATGTGTGCAGCAGAGTGAAATGTACACTGATGGTGACAAAGTTTTTGCAAAAAGAATACCACAGAAATCAAATCATTCATGTAATCTTTTATCATAATACATAATGTTCTCAAAGCAAAAGTAACAGGGAGTCTAATTTACAGCAATTCAAAGATTTTCTTGAATCAACTCATTCCTGTGCAACCCTTAGATTAGAGCGTGTTTCAGATGTCTAATAGTGGAATAGTGATACACAACTAAATGTTACGGCCGCAGCTACATAAAACCACATTGCAAATGTGAAATCATCTCACTTGAAAGGCAGATTTTCTTTTTGTTTCAGGAAAGACAGAATTTTGACTGCCGTAAATAAGTTGTGAGAATGCAGAGGCCTTTTGCAGTTTTACAGATGGCCTCTTACACTACAAACAGGGTTCTTACATGCCACAAGACACCTGGTTACTGCCAAAGCCGCCACACTCATTCACACAGGAAGAGGAGCTAAAGTGCACATAGAAAGGCAGTTCAATCTAACTATCTTTATCAACCACTAGAAACTAAAAACTTCTTCATACCAGAAATCGTGACGTGAACAAGTTAACTGGCAGTTTAATTTTTTTAATGAATTTCTTTTGGAGATCAAAGTATGAAATTATTCAATGTCCTATGCTTATAATGATGTATGAAACCCATTTAACACAAACACTATGACTTTTACTTTGGAGGATTTCTAAGGACCTTGAGCCAACATCATGTCATACTTATAAAACACACATTATATTTCTTCTCACTGTTTCTTCTATAGCATCTATTTACTGTGAGAGCTGTCAACATCGTATGCCCCAACGTCAACTAGTTGTTTACAACATCCTGTGGTACATCTGTTAACTCAGTTGTGATCTTCTATCTGAGTGGATGAAATTGATTTTCATCGGGTTTGCTCTCCGGTCTTCTTCAGAGACATAAATGTACAACTAATGCACAGATCTGTTCATCAGACCTCTCTCACTTTTTTTTCTGTTTCCCTTTTTTTTATCTCACACACACCCCACACTCACCCACCACCATACCAACACACCAGCACAGGCATTTATACAATGTCTAATGCAAAAGTGTGAGAGTTTGAGGGAGCATGACCATTCTGTCTGTGTCTCTCTGTCTGTGTCTATCTGTCTGTCTGTTTGTCTCGTTACCAGCTGCGACAGTGCGGCTGGTATTGTTTTCACCATGTGAATCTGTATCAGCCGTTTCAAGAAAATCTTCAAATTTCTGTCAGTCAGAATCCCTATTTAGTTTTGCTTTGAGAACATTATATATTAAGAGAAAAAAAATTACATGAATAATTCAATTTCTGTGGTATTTTTTTTACAAAAATAAAGTCATCATCAGTGTAAAATTCATTCTGCCAAATTCCTCAAAACCGTGTCTGTGGCAGTTGTGGCTAGAGAAGGCATCTCCACAACCATATTTTGCCATGATGACACACACACACACACACACACACACACACACACACACACACACAGCCCCACTGTTGTGGCTGGTAATTACTGCCTCATGGTTGCAACCAGTCAAGTTGCAGTTGACTGTCCAGACTCATATAACACTGTATATGTGGAGAAGATTATGAAGGTATTAAGTGTATTTTGTCAAAATAAGCATATGAATTCCTGTGTTATGGCCAAAAAACGTGTTTTGTAAGGTCACCTTGACCTTTGACCTTTGACCACCAAATTCTAATCAGTTCCTCTTTGAGTCCAAGTGGACATTTGTGCCAGATATAATGATATTCCATCAAGTCGTTCCTGATATATCACTCTGTTCTACTTATGAACAGAGCATGGCTACCTGTTTCCAAGCTTCATGTTAAGATGAAACAATCTGACTGTAGCTTCATATTTAATGTACAGATCTGAGACTGGCATCAATCTTCTCAACAAGAGAGAGAGTGAGAGTGTTTAGACATTCCTTCAAAATAAAATGCCCTTCTCTATTTACTTGAATTTAGAAAGAAAACGTTTTACTTTTACAGTCAAGAGGTTGATATTATTTTAATTGAGGGAAGAAATAAACACATTTCTAGTTTCTTCCCGTTGCCTCAGACCTCCAGGCTGCTGCATGCAGTCAGCATGGCTGCCCGGGGTGAAGCCTGTAGTAACTCAGCACAGGAATGTAGGTTAGAGAGCTCTCATTAGATATTCAGTGGACTAATGCTCTACGGGTTGAACTGGCACAACTTAACTCAAGTGGATTAGACTGGCTGAGATTTGAGATGTTCTCTTTTGGATGTTTTCTGGAAAATAAGGAAGAGATTGAGCTTTTCTTCTTCAGCTGTACAACCCTTCCTGGAGACAATCCAGCCCAGTCGCTAAACCTGCAGACACCCATATTTTTACCTAATGATGAAGAAAAAAAAAAAAGTAATGATGCAGTGCAATCTTCCCCCTCCGGAAGCTTGTTTGTTTGATGGACAACTCTTGAACATGACTGAGATTATGCAGCCTGGCTTGGATGTACTGTACATATTTGCAGGCAGCACCTCCCCTGTGGGATTATCAGCGGCCAGATTAACTGGAAGCTTCTTTAGAGCATAACACACTGAACTGAAAGAAAAGAGCGTCTGTGTGGGAAGCTGCACGCAAAGCTCAATATGCATTCACTTATAGCTCTCTAACACGTATGATCACTCTCTATTCTCTGCAGGGAAGTGAATTAAACATTGTAATCATGTATAATATGCCTAAATAAAAGACCGTTATACGTCTCTCTGTGCACTGCCTGGAGATCACTTCTTTTATTTTAAAATTTGCTTACACATTAACAATGTATCCTGAAAATCTCAAATCACATGAGATACTGTATAAATGATTTAAAACTAACAGAAAACCTGCTCTGACAAAAAAACTATAAATATTATAAAAATAAAATATTTTATAGAAAGGGTAGTAATTAACTCACATTAAGCCCTTTTCACATGAGGAAAATGCTTTTACAGGCTTAATCTTCTCTATTTTAGATATATTGAAAGATAAAATGAAACATATTCATTACAGACTAATGCAAAGAAAATACTCTCAGCAGTTAAGAAATAAATAATAATGTGTTTCCCCATGGATGGCCCATAAATACGCTGACAACTCTGAATGCTTCGAGGCAAAGTTAAGCACCAAATGCACTGAACTCAGGAAATGTGGGAATAAGGCTGCAAAGAGTGAGTGTGCTTTCTTCAGCTGAGTTAAATCAGGCTCCTGAGGAGGAGTGCACTACAAACCCACTGACCTGGTAACTCTGTGGTGCTGCCACAACAACACAGCAATAAAAAAAAAAAAAAAAGAAGTCGGCCGATCCCTTCAGACACACACCAGAAAAATGCAAGAACAGGAAATGGGTGAACAAAACCTGAATGCCATGCCTCCATCAGAGGAATCACTCTCTATCAAATGGTTTATATAGTGTAGTATTTTAGTTTTTCTTCATTTTTCTACAATGTTGAGATTCATTGCTGCCAACTGTGGCAAGTTTGGTCATGCAGTGAGGACAGCTTTACTTCTTTTTTACATTTTTCATGCTGCACAGTTTGCAAGAACCTTTAACACAAGCACAGGTACTACTCAGTTTAGATTTCACCCGAGAGTCTTCTGCTCACATGAATCTCAAGCCTTTTTCTAAAACCACTGCAAAAAAGTATTTTGTTACATAATTTCTATCACAAACCAAGAATTTGAAATACTGCGTAGTTTTACAGCTGTTCCATCCGATGATTGACTATAGCTGTTTTGGTCACACATTCTCAATACGTTGTCCAGTTGTTCCTGACAATGTGTCTAATACTAATACAAAAAATCTGTAAACTGAGTTATTGACTAGAGACATCCAGCACAAGCCTCATTATCTCTCAGCTGTAGTACATGAGCAGCAGATGCATTCAACAGGCAGTGTTCCCTTAAATTGATTTCCTTGTAAAATTGCTTGTTAAGGTGATAGATCCAGAAGAGCTCACAGATTTCATAAATCATTGCAACTAAAGAAGAAGGTAGCTAAAAGGAGAAAATAGGGCACAGCAGAACAGAAGAAATTTGAGCTCTGTTGTGAAATATCATCATACATGAAAACATGGGATAGTTTCTTCGCTTAGTGGCAAAAAAACATAACAGTGGATCTGGTTTGTTACCTTTCCAAAGTCTCGAACATCAAAGAGATCAAAGGCTTCAAATAAGTCGCTTTTCTTCATCCCGAACACGTCACAGCAAGACGTCAGGAAGGTGCGGATGTTCTTCAAGCACAGGAACTGCACAGAGCAACAAATGGCACTCATCAGTTTAGCATCCCTTGCCTCCATACAGCACTTACAGTCATTTGTGCCTTTTCTTTCATTTTCTAGAATCATGCTGGTTCTACAAAAAAACACTTACCCAAAAATCACACACACTCACACAAAATAACACATTTTAGTGGTTTCTAGCCATGCAGAGAATTTTAGTTTTCACACACTATAAATATGTCGTTTTGCTTTTCTGCTGTAATGTTTGACTACCACCGTCGACCAGGTGCCATCTCTCAATGCTCTTATCTTTGAAAAATTTGAATTTAAAAATGAAAAATCAAAGTTTCTTCCTACAGAAACAGCGTCACAGAATACGCTGTCACTAGACATTACTGAAAATACTTTTTTTTACCAACTGATCTTTTAAACCATTCAGCAGACTATTGGCAGAGCAACAATGACATTGATGCTGCTCCTTAATGTTTTTAAATGTAATTTTTTTTTAATGCTTTGAGCAACACAAATTAAATCCAATTCACTTCTGTTGTATTTGGGATTTGAGCAGAAATCTCAAATATTTCAAAACCTGCAAAAATATCAGCATTTATCAGAGAGATGAGAGATAAGTAGAAAATATCTTTTCACGTCATTTAGGAGAACCCACCACTTAATTCTGTTTTAATGTAAATAACCCTCTACAGTTATATGACAAGGAGAGATCAGGGTAAAAAGTGAAGGCGAAGCCTACACCCTGCAAACTGAAAGTGAAAAGTGAAAGCTTCACGGTGTGAAATGAAACCACTAACCATGTGCTCTTTTGGTGTCACTTCCTATTAGGATCTGTGTCTCAGTGGGAAGAGTGCACTCGAACAACTTTCATACTGTGCGGACAATGTGATTATGGTTATGAGTTATGGTTAAAGGTTTGAGGTCTGAGTCAACCTTACACATATACTGTTGTATTAAAACACCCAGTAAACAAATGCACTGACCATAATTTACCCTTTGTAGCACATTATTAAGTGATGACTAACCCCCAAACTGAATATGTGATCATTTACAGCATAAAAGAGCTAACAAGATTCTTGAGAACAGATAGGCCCCACTTTATCAGCTCATCATGGAGGCGCCTGTAATCCCTCCACCGCCCCCTGGGGCCCTGTTTGTCTGCGGAGGAAATGCACAAACATGATGGCTCTGCACCACCGCCAGCCTCATACCCCTGAATGCAGTCACAGCTCTGGTGCACATTCTCTTGTTCACATCTACCTTCAGAGTGAAACAGAGCTTGTTTGGATTCACCGGTTAAAAAAAACATACGGATGTTTCTTGGTATTTTTTAAATGATTGTGTGAAGGATCATTTATTATCTTATTTTTTGCTGGTATATATGGATGAGCAGCATTTATTTAAGGATGGGGAAGCCGCTCTTGACAGATTTTCCTTGGATGTTTTGTATTTGTGCCAAGGCCAAACATACAGTACGATAAAAATAGTACTTATGGGCACATTTTCATCACAGTACACTGCACCCTCACCCTCCAGTCCATTACCTTCATGCCCTTGTTTCCACTTCCAAGATCGTAGGTCAGCAGGGCACAATGAAAGGGCCATTTAAAATCTGGCACACATGTTCTTCTCAGCTATTCTCAGATGGCCTACAGCTCCAGGCTATGACTATCCATTCTTATGCCCTGTGTTTTCTTTCACTGTCTGTCAAGAAGATAAAAGGCAAGAGGACGTGCACTGACAGAGCACATACAGGCCACTGAAATTTATAAGATAGAGTGCTGGAAAATTGATGTTTATTTATCACTGCAGCAAAGATTTTTGAAGGCTTGATGTCTTTATTTATTTATGGCAGTGTGTGGAGGGTAATAATTTTGACAACTACAAAACGTTTAATCTCGTCTCTCAAAATCAAACCATGTGAAATTCAGTTACAGGTTATTACACCTACTTCAGTTAAAACTCTTCTGTGCGTGGGCGCTTCCTGCATCCTTTAACCTTAGATTAAAATGCCAAAGTTGTGCTGTATTGGAATCAAACATTTCCTGACTCGATGATACATTCGTCAAATGCATCGTACTTTTAACAAGGCCTGATAAAGATCTAATCATCTGCAACTTTGCTTTCTGAATGAAGTGAGTACAAGTCAGTGCACAGGAAGTCTTGATCTTGTAGCGACGTGTAGAACAAGGCATGAAAATTTAAGGCGAGTATTTTGATAAGCGCAACTATTTTTGTAGAGTTGACGAGAACAAGGAGACATCTGCCTCAGTTATATCAAGAAAGATGCTTTTTACAACATTATTATATTTTTATTTTAATTCATTTAACCTTAATTTAACCACTTCTTCAAGAGCATCTTGTCCATGACAGTGATCTGTAGTAGAAAATAGATATCTTAAATAAAAAAGCGTACTATGTGTGTGTGTGTGTAGAAATTACAAAGTCTCCTAATGGTTAACTACACATGTTGTAAGACTTTAAATTCAGTCGTAAGCAGACTACAAGCTGCTGCACAGAGTAACAGTTCCCTGACTAATGGGTGGATCAAAGCCAGGATTTTATCAGGCCTCTCCAGTGGCAGCAGGAGGAATGATGAGTAAAGAGAGCTCAGTCAGTCTTGGACCATTCATTTGCTTTTCACAGGCTGAGGGATGTTTAGCGCTCTCTCACTTATTGAAGAGTAGAAACTGTAAGGCCACAAAAACAGGGCACAACAAGTCTGTTTGGGTTAATTATCATTTTTAGAAGAAACAGCCTGGTGAAGACAGGTCCTCACATCAGATAATCCCCAGCCTGAGTCTGACAGAGGTCACTCTGTGGCCTTAATGTTTACAGTGACACTTATCAGTTTGAAAGAGTGCCAAAGAAAAGAAGATGGCTCTGCGTTCCCAAATTCTGGTGTTGGATATAATGGTGAGTGTGACAGATGGAACATGATGAAAAGCTGCCTCAAGCTGCAAATCCTGACAATTTACTGCTCTAGTTTGAAATCATGGAATAACCTGAGGGTAACAAAAACTCCCACACCTCTGCATTAAACTTTTAAGAACTCTGGGATAGGGCTTATTGTTGTTCCCTGCAGGTGCTGTAACAAAACAGAAAACTTAACAATATGCTAACATGGCTTCATGTGTTTGGAGACCTTATTTGGACCTGACATCTCTGACGTCCTTTTTGTCTGTCTTTTAATTTGAAAAGCAGTTGCAAACTTGTTGATTTAAGTCGACTTAATTCATGCATACTGTAAGACATTTTACAGGCAGCGGTCATAAGCAACAGTAAAATGATTTGGTGTTGACACAGACTAAGTAATTTAACTCTGGAGCGCCTGTTTATGAAAACATCCACTTTGACTAACGGACGTCGCCCACTGTTGACATCTGACAGTACATGTTGCTCGCTACAGGCAGCCATCCGCTAAGTCACAGCATTTCTCCAGTTCCACAAGTTAGTTTGCGCTGACAGCGGCGCACAAAAGACGTATGTACCTGTGACATCTGTGGCCGGAGATTAATCTCCTTCAGGTTGATAGTGTGAGGTCTCAGGTTGTTGAGCAGCTGGCACAGCAGCACCCCGTCCCGCAGGGTTTGTGCCAAGTCGAACACCTGCGCCGTGTCCGCAGTTACCCGGTGGTTCACGGGCAGCACGTTGCAGCTGATCAGCCACATCGCACATTGCCTCCAGTACTCCATGATGTCGGAGAGTGGTGAAAGCAGCTGGTTAGTTCCAGATGTATAAAAAAATAAATAAATAAAATAAAAAAAAATAAAAACTCTTGTCCCTATTGTAAAGCTGTGAGCGGCATGGTAAAAGCTGCGCTCAGCGCCGGGCGCTCGTCTTTTGAAACTCCAGCATCGCCTCTGGAGGACAGAGAGAGCCGCTGCAGCTTATGAGTGCTGTACACTGAAACCCCCCTCTGTCTTCGTAAACTTCCCCTTCCTCCTTCTGTGAGATTTCCTCAGAGGTGGTCGCAACTCTCATGAATCGTTTTAAATCTATGTTTCCGCTCAGCCTACGCCTGAAATGAGTCCTCAGTGTAATATACCTGCAGAATGTGATGAAACGATCCCTGCAAAAACCCACTCTATGTGAAGCTTCTAATGTTTCTGTGACACAAAGGTGTTGAATCTACACTGTGGTTGTAGTTGTGGTAACAGGTGTTTCTTATGTCCACCGCCATTTATAGGCTACCCTACAAATGCATATGTTAACCCGATTAAAGATTAAAATAGTTTTCACATAGCCTACTTTAACTGTCTCACTTATAGAAATGTTGGTTTTATTTTATCTATAGAGCTACAACAAATGATGCAAGACATTACGTTATCAACTCATCTGTGGAATTATTATTTCAATACATTTTTATTGATTGTTTAGTCTAAAAACTCAGAAAACTGTGTATAAATTACATGTTTTCAATTTGCCAATGTATCATCTTCAAACTACTTGTCTGTCTGACCAACAAGTCCAGACTCTAAATGTATTCTATTTATAATAATATAAAAAAGTTGTAGAAATATTTAATATTTTGGCTTGATAAATTATTTAGGTGATCAATTGATTATTAAAGTTGTTAGCAATTAATGTCCTCTCTGTCAACTAATGGATTAATCAACTAAAAATGTTTTTTTATTATTATTATTTTATTATTGTTTTAAAACTTCTTATAATGAGGAATTGTATGGGCTACAATCCTTCTCCCCCACAGCCTGCCACTCTCAGCTGACATTCCATGTGGATTATAAATAGCTTTGACAGGTGATTATAATCTGAGTTCTTTGCTGGGGAGCTGTGATCTCTATGTTTCAGTATAGCCATAAGTAAAACCAGATAGAAAAGAATCAAGGCATCTAACAGAGGCAGAGAGAAGGACATCCTCCTGCCATGGGATTTACTGTAGATCACTGTCAGTAAGCCCATGATGTAAACACAGGAAGGAAGCTGAGGGATCCCGTCATGTTTTACCCTGAGTGAGGGAGCCAGATGTTTCCTTAGACATCGATCAGGCTTCAACTTATATGAGTAAATGGATTAAGCAGGAAGATTCTCTCTCTTGTTTACTTAAATGCAGAAAATCATATCATATAATGCAAACAATAGCACCCATGAAGCTGTCAACAGTATCAGATAAAATATATTTATAAATATATATACAACCCATATTGTTGATGTCCTCTTCAACAGTCAAATGCACAATGGTGCGCTTTACACAAACATCATACAAAACTGGCACCCGATCTAATTTCAGCATAGCACTGCTGAAATTAGACATGCTGTGAATTGACCTGTAGCTGCAGTTAAAGAACTCGTTGATTGGATTTTATTGGCCTATCAGAAGGTGGGAAAAATTTAGAAATGAAGGCGGAAAAGTTACACTCATGAAAATAAGTGATGCTTGAAGAAAATCAGCTCTTACCGTGTGTCAGAAAACGTGCCCAAACAAAGGACTGTGAATAATAACACTTCAAGTCTTTCTGTTCTGATGGACAACCAATGTTGAGAGAGTAGTATGTCGCAATAATCAGTGCGAGGACATTTCCAAACTTCAGAACACCTTCCATTCCATGAAGTGTCCAGCTGTCTGTGGAGAAATCCCTACAATACACAGCAGAGGAAAAAGTCACATTTAAAGTTAAAAGAATAGTATAACATCAAGACTGTCAAAAATAACCACAATGAGGAACAATTGTAAAAAATATTTTGCCATTATTTGATTTACATGAATGGCTCAACAACAAGAAAATATTCACATCCTTATAACTTTCATTTAATTTTACCCTAATTTGATTTTACACTAAATATGTTAAAAATATATTTAATGAACTTTCAAAATTGTACTTCATATTGTTGAAATTATGAAGTGCTAAAATATTTGATGCAGATCATTAGTTATAATGGCTAAACTTAGCAGCTAATGGAGTAGCAGCTAACATGGAGTTATTCATCTGATCTTCTCATTAGAACCATGATGACCAAATTGTTTGCTAATGTTAATGACTTTCTTTTATTTTATCTAAACATTAGGTTTGCGGTGGCCAAGGTTAGCAGCTAATGTTATTGAAAATAATATATTTTATCTAGATATGATGATTAATAGCCAATTTAGCAGCTAAGGTTAATAACATTTTTCACATTGCATTCATTTTAGATTTATTATACTGTAACTTCTTTTAATTTTACCTTAATATTAACTCTTCAGTGGGCAACACTAGACGATAACTGGTCATTCATAACTGTTCCACAGTGAATCACTGTTTCATTTCAGATCAATACTAAAGTTGTGATGGCTAGCAGCTAATGTTACTGTCATTTAACACTTAACTGTCACATATTAACCTACCATAAAATCCTGACCACCATGTGTCTTGGGAATCCCTTAACCTAAGATGGAGCCAGACATTTTAGGGGTAAGGATACTCTTCTCTTCAGATTGCCCTTTTTCCCCCATTTTGAACCATAGTGTTGGGTTTTTGTTTTTGAGTTTATTCTTTTACTTTTGGGTTGGAGATCATGAATAGCCCAGTTATTGGTTTTTCTTTTGGTTTAGTGTAGTTAAGTTTTGGAGAGTTTGGGCAGCTTATGGGGAGTACCGGGGTGCAATGGCCCATGGCATGGCTGGCTTAGTGACCTAACCAACTTTTGTTGGCTATGATCTCCACCCTTTTTGTTTAGTACTTTTAGTATAGTTAATTATGTTTAAAATAAAGCTGTTTCTCCTTTCTTGACAACTCAAAGTCTTGGTGTCCATTCCGATCTCCATTTGAGCCAGTTGTTTGTTTAGGGAGACCCTGACACCCAACATGAGTCCAATAGTGTGTTCATAGTACCCCAAACAACCCAGAATTATGAACCAGCATTATTGACAATGTGTTTACATGTGTTTGTGTGTACCGAAATCCTAAACCGTAAGGATAATTTGCAACATGTAGCCTATTTATGTAAATGTTGTTGTGTAATGTTTTTGCCTCAACAAACAATCTTTAATTTTCAAATTTTAATATCTCCACTATTTTTCAATTTCTTGCAAAAAAAGCTTGATTCTGTATATTAATATATCACATATAGAAGTGCCACAGATCTTGCTAATTATTAGGTTTGGAGCTGAAACCCCCACTTTAAGATATTTTGACTGTATATTTTCCCAATAACTTATTTTTATTTACTTTTTTGTGGGAATGTGCTAATTTTCATGGCATACATAAATACATAAAGATGTTATACTACTCCTTTTTGAAAATAGTTTTTTGTAGTTTTTCTACTTTTTGCTGTCTGTAATATTACATTGGGTGGTTTTATTTGAGATATATGTATTATGTTAACTTAAAGGTTTTCTATCTCTGGGTGATACCTATTGAACCATTTTTTTATTGTAATGGTTTGGTTTTTGCATAGTGGATAATGTCATCTTGTTCCGTGTATCTGGACAAAATATTAATCTTAGTTTCTTAGCTAAATACACGTTATATTACAATTTCAAGCTTTTTTCAACTAATTTCTAACATCACCAAGCAGTGGAATTAGCCTGCTGCCAGGGAAAATCGGACCTCTTCGGGGGACCGGCGGACGTCTGTTCAAGGGTAGAAAGTACAGAAACTGCACTGGTCAAAATCTATTTTTAAAATATTAAGTGCAAAACATTAAAACATTAAGTGCATTAAGTTTCCCATAAGGGTCCAGCACATTTTTACACCTTTAGGCTGCCAAGCCATTAAGAAAAATAAATCAATAAGAAAACAAGTTTTAAAGTGACATTAAAAGCTGAATTTATGTGGAATTTGGTCGGTTTTTCAAAATAAGTCACGCTTTAACCTCCACACAAGATGGCTACATTTTAACAGATAGGTGCCTTCTACTACTTCTTATTCTAATTATTATTATCATCATTGTTATCATTATATTTTTTATTATTATTGTAAACTTCCGGAGAAAAAAAAAACAAAGCAAGCACGACACCGGAAATGGAACCATAAAAAAAAGAAGCTGAACCGTCAAAACATAAACAGAGCAGTCAACCTAGTGTGAACGCAGCCAGCTTGCTTTATGAACTGTCTTTTACCAAAACCTTTATGCACGCATTCCTAATGTCGTGTGTTTTCCGTCAAAGAAATCCTAGTTGGGACACTTGGCTCAATTGCTAAGTAGTGAGGTGGAGAAAATAAATCTGCAGTAAAGATTAGGACTAAACTAAGAAGTACGCCTCGTCGGGCCTTCGAGTAGAGGTAACGCTAGCTGTGCTAGTTAGCCAGTACAAGCAGTGCTGGCTGTTTGCTAGCTGCTTTTGGACAACCAGCTGTTTGCTTGTCAAGCAGAACTGACAGCAGTATTTAGTTTCGATATTTGTTAGCCACGGAAATGCTAGTTAGCATTAGCTCACGCAATAACAGTGCCAGGTAATCGAGTACTCGTTGTTCCGCAGAGGACCATGCACAATTAAACATCACAAAGCAAAAAAGGACATTAGACGGGCCTGTGATCCAGCTAGCAAGCGAGTTAGTTTGTTAAAGTCGTGAAGTGCAGCGGTAGATTGGTAGTAACATTAGCCTGGCTGTTAGTTTGGAAGCTACAGAGCTAACAGGTAACTTGTGCACAACAGCACACAGTGTGGCGTCGTTGTTGACAACAGTTCAGCGAGTGCAAGCAGTAATGTCGGCTTACTCATGCGTACAAGTTGTCTGGTCTTAATTTCAGAACTTGCCAATTTGGTTAATAACCAACCTTAATATTTTGTTTTTGTGTGACACTCAGGTTCTCCCTCGGGTCGACGCAGGACAAAGGAGACAGAATGGCTGAGGCTGACGGCAAATCCACTGCGCTTAACGGTAAAGGATCAGTGCTAGAAAATAACTTGCTCATTTATATAGGCCATAACTGTGCGAGTTGTCATGCTCCTTCCACAGACAGGTAATCACGGGACATATTTGGTTTTACTAGGTGGCTCTGAAGAAAAGGAACCTGGAGAAGATCAACACAAGGAGGGGGATGCCTCTGGAAGCAAAGAAGGACAAACACAGTCTTCCTCTCAAGATGGTAAAGCCACTCTTCTAACTTAACAACTCCTTACGAAGATTCATGCTGCTAACACGGTTTGGTGGGGTAGAAACTTTGCTTAATTATATTTTTAATTTCATACATTTTTAAATGCATTTGCAGATGGGTGGCAAATTAAAGCAAAAATCCTCATCACTGAATGTTTTGATGATTATGAAAATTATGTGAATCAAATGCTATGGCCTTCACAATCACCAGATCTCAACCTAGTTGAACACCTATTGGGAGATATTGGACCGATGTGTTAGACAGCGCTCTCCATCACCATCATCAAAACACCTAATGAGGGAATATCTTTTTGAAGAATGTTGTTCATCCCCTCAGTAGAGTTTAGAGATTTGTAGAGTCAATGCCAAGGAGCACTGAAGCTGTTCTGGTGGCACGTGGTTGCTCAACATCTTAATAGGACACTCAGTGTTTAATTAGTCACCTGTCTGTATTTACTTCAGGATACCCTGGTATTCCTAACATTGCTGCAGTTGAATTTTCTCTAGTTTTTTGCATCCTGATATGACTTATTATTGATGCACTTTGTAGTAGAATTTGGACAGCAGTTGTGCACCTTTTGTTGAATCTCCCAATGAGACGGTGTTGTCTTAACCTTACTCTCCTTGGCTCTGGATTTCCTATTTCTGTAGCTCCCAAAGAAACAGGAGAGGTATCTGGAGAGAAGCCTATGCCAGATGTGGAAGGAGAGACGGGCACAAACAGAGAGGGAGAGGAGGAAGAAGACACAGACAGCATGGATGGCAGTGGTCTGTACTCTCTGACTGAGGATGGTGAAAGAGAAAGTGAGGGAGGCAGACAAGAGAGAGCAAAGGATAAAGACGGTGGGAAAAGGGCAGCTAGAAAGAGAAATAGACCTGGCGGTGGCACCAACCACTCCTCCAGCTCAGATGAGGATGATGATGATGATGAAGAAGAAGAAGAACAGAAAGATGACGAAGACGATGATGAAGCTATGGAGGCATGGCTCGGAGCAGAGCTCCGTGACCTCCGTGGGCCTATATGGCGGGCGATACCCTCACTGCGCTCCCGGGAGATTGGCAGGGACTCGCACCAGTTTGTGAGGCGTGTGTGTGGAGCCCGAGGTCTTGTGCAGAGGCTGGAGCTCCAAGGCCGCCTGGAGAAGCACACAGGCTGTGTCAACACATTGCACTTCAACCCCTCAGGCACACGCCTGGCATCAGGAAGTGATGACCTGCGAGTTGTCATCTGGGACTGGGCCATCCGCCATGCTGAGCTGGAGTTTGATAGCGGCCACAAGAGCAATGTCTTTCAGGTAAGGGCTGCAACTGATGATTATTTTCATTATCAATTAATCTTCCATCAGTTGTCAGTCAATCAAATGTCAGAAAAGTAAAAATGTGTCATCACAATATCCCAGAGTCCAGTGTTGTTTTTATGTTGCATGCTAAAGATATATCAATTTACACATTATATAAGAGAGAAGAGCAGGAAATCCTTGTATTTGTGAAGCTGTGATCAGTTAATGTGTAGCACTTTTCCTTGATAAATTGAATGAACAATTTATGGATTATAATTCTTGAATAACTAATTTAATGTTCTGGCAATAGAGTAATTCATTAATGGACAAATGGTTTCAGCACTAGAGAGCATAAAGGCAGGGTGACTGAGTGAGTGACTAATCAGAGTGTATTGTTGTCAGAAAATTCTCCCTGTCCTTGATGTACATAGGCTAAGTTCCTGCCTCACAGCGGAGACTCCACCTTGGCCATGTGTGCTCGAGATGGTCAGATCAGAGTGGCTGAGCTCTCTGCCACACAGCGCTGCAAGAACACCAAGCGGGTAGCACAACATAAAGGGGCAGCACACAAGGTGAGTGCTTGTATTGTGTGTGAATGAAAGTTTCAAGGAGTTTGTGCCATAAATAGCAACTGTGGTAGATATATTTAAGATTCTGATAGCCTATTAATTGAGTGCAGTCTCTCATCCATGTGTGTTTATCTGCATGTTTTAATTTCAGCTGGCCCTCGAGCCAGATTCACCCTGCTCTTTTCTGTCTGCTGGAGAGGACGCCGTGGTGTTTGGTATTGACCTGCGTCTAGACCGTCCCGCCAAGTGAGCAATACCATCATTACAGTTATCCAAGTTTAAATTTAGTCAACACTGGGAAGTGAAAACTACTGTCAAAACTGTATTTCTTGTTGAGCATAATTAAGTTGCAATCATACAGTAGACCTGAGGTAAATAACACTTTAGAGAAGTTATTATTTATGTAGTGTTATTATGCCAATATCCTGTCTGTCAGTCAGTGTTGGTCAACGTCCACTTCTAAACACGTTCCTCTTTGTCAGTTTTCCTGTATTTGCTATGTGTGTGTCGTCTTCATTTTTGAGACTTTTCTGTTTATTTAACTCTTACCTGTTTTTTTGTGTCTCCTTCCATTTGTGTGGCAGTAAACTGGTGGTTGTAAAGGAGGGTGATAAAAAAGTTGGGCTGTACACCATCTTTGTCAACCCAGCAAAGACACACCACTTTGCTGTGGGCGGGAGAGACCAGTATGTCAGGTAGGAACCAGCTTCTAGTTTTAATGCTACTTATTTTACTAATATTGCAAATGGGAGGCAACGGAAATAGCTTAAATAAGGTTAAATATTTGATGTGTTATTACTTACTGTCTCTTAGATGTTACTTTTTTGATTCTTTTTTTCACTTTCTCTTCTACTCACACTCTGTAGGATCTACGACCAGAGGAAGATTAATGAGAATGATAACAATGGTGTACTGAAAAAGTTTTGTCCTTCACATCTGGTATCCAGTGAGTCCAAAACCAACATAACCTGCCTTGTGTACAGTCATGATGGCACAGGTAAATCACCTGCACAATGAAAACATTTTTAGAAAAAATGTGTATCTAAAGTATCAAAGTCAAGAGAGAAAAGAGAAAGAGAGAACTGGAACAGGTTGCATTCAGTGTTTGCAAAAATAACTTCCTGATGGCACAATTTAATTTCCTTGCAATTTCCAGAAAAAACTGTTTCAAATTTATATTTGAATTCAATTTGATAATGCTTATGTACTTTCTCATTGTTATGAATATATTTTAGAAATATTTATTGAAAATAATGAGGCCTGGACTTGATGCTTGCTTGAATAATTATCTTAAAATGCTCCTCTTAACCCTGATGCAACATCAGTGCAACGATCAATGACACTGAAATAGGATCAGATTTCCTCTCTTTGCTCTCATCTTTGAACACTAGTAAAGTTGGGTTGAGCACTACTTTAGGCCAGTCTGTCATGATGGCATTAAAAGAATTTACGTTAATAACTGATTGATCCTCTTTGTCTGTCTAGAACTCCTGGCCAGTTACAATGACGAGGACATCTACCTATTTGACTCCAACCACAGTGATGGGGCTGACTATCGCAGGAGATACAAGGGACACCGCAATAATGCCACAGGTATTAAATTCAGTCCCCCCACCCCCCCACCCCCTGTTAGAGCATTACAGTAATAAATCGGTGACCTTTGTACCCAGCCATACTTTTAAAAGTCAGACTTATCAGGTGTAGCCCAACTTCTCAAGCATTTGGCAGTCAGATGCACATTACAATCCTCTCCCATCATCGCCTCTTCCTCACAGTGAAGGGGGTGAACTTCTATGGGCCAAGCAGTGAGTTTGTGGTCAGTGGCAGTGACTGTGGACACATCTACCTGTGGGACAAGTATTCAGCTCGTATCGTCCAGTTTATGGAGGGAGACAGAGGAGGAGTGGTGAGTCAGAGAGAGAAGTATATCATATATAATATAGAAATATGTATTTGGTGGACTCAAATATGACTTGGGAAAAGCTATGCAAACACATTTCTACAGTAATCTTTTTGTTTCAGTGATTCCTACAGTTTTTGATTTGCCTTGCTGCAGCTACATAATATTTTTGATATCTTTACTGTGATAAAATACATTAGGTCTATTTGGTTTTACATAGCTATTTGCTGCTGCATAAATCCCCCCCAAGAATAATATGTGTAAAACTTCCCATCACCTTTATACTTAAATCTCAGTTCTTCTCCCTTCTCTTAATCATCACAGGTGAACTGTCTGGAGCCTCATCCCCATCTGCCTGGTATGGCCACCAGTGGGCTGGACCATGATATCAAACTATGGGCTCCCACTGCTGAAAGCCCCACAGGACTCAAGGGTCTAAAGGAGGTATTCTACTCTGTTCTGTTTTATTCTATTCTGTTTTTTTTTTTTTTTATATATAGTTTTGGTCGTCATTCTATTGGTTACAGTAACATTTTACCCATTTCTTTCTCGCAACACATGATATCATGACATTGGTTGAGATGTCTGTTGCATGTGCATAGTCTTCTTTACGACATTCACAACTCTAATCAAGGATGCTTTGTGTGATGAAGGTGATGAAAAAAAACAAGCGGGAGCGTGATGAAGACAGCGTGCGCCACGGCGACCAGTATGACACCCAGCTGCTGTGGTTTCTGATGAGACATATGAGGAACAGACGGCCCCCAAGGGTGAGCGCTCAAACACTACAACAAACCTAGGAAACATCAATTATGTTTTGAGGTGTGGGAATGAAAAGATGCACGTCACAACAAAAGGTTCATATTGGTTGCATATTGGGAAATGTAGGATCTAGCGTCATGAGCTTGGCCTGTTTTACACACTAAAGGTCAGGATATTTCTCCCTTAATTGCTTTATTTATGACCATTTTTTTTCTAATGTTTTTCTTGTCAGTCCCTCACTATGTATTGAGCCACTCTCCAATTAAAGACAAACTCACAAGGAATCTGTTACTCGTTAGAGCTGCCATCATTAAAATTAAGGGGGTACATGTGAAATATTTATGACTCATGCATTTATTAGGCACTTAAAAAGTTTTAGAACACCTCAACTTTGCCAGTTGTTACTGAAATTTACATAATATAATGTCTCAGTGTTTCTGAAATTAAAGCATAGAACAGAAAATTAATAATAATTATTTTTTAATCAGTATTCTTTTAATCAATGATCAGTTTAATCTGTAATATGTATTTACTCTAAATTTTGACTCATTCAGCTGCTGAACACATTCGTGATGTTCTTTCTACAGAGGAAATTAAACTTTGTTCAGAAAGTTTGTCCCGACATGTTGGTTCCCACAAATGTGTTGCGTTTGCAGTTTGCTTTGCTTTCACCTTCTCTCCAGTTCATCCCAAACCAGCTCCATGGGGTTTTAGTCTCGAGACTGTGCTGGTCTTCATCATGTGAAGCCATCATCTGTTTTTTTCTTCTATTGTTTTGGGTCATTGTCTTTCTGTAGGATGAACCCCTGACCTGCCAGCCTGTCCTTTTTTACTTGCCTTTTTCTCACCACTCTTATAACAATGTACAGTAATACTTCCTGCAGTGCAGTATTGCCATAATGATGCATCAGACGGTGCAGTAACACAGTTTGTTCCAACTCTGCCTTTGTACAGACAAAAGTTGGGGCACGTGTAGGAAATGTTTGCATTAACTTTCAAGGCTTCATTGTATTCCATTGCTGCAGGAAAGCTGTTAGATAACCATTATCTTAATCCCTGACAAAGGCCCATTTTCTATTAATAAATGTACATTATTGGACTTGGGTTGACTACTTGAACTTTGTATGGATGTTAGTAGGATAGTTGTAATGATAGGATAGTTATATAGGAGGGGTGTCATTACCAGTGCATACTGTTAAAGCCCAAATGGTCTTACTTTCACTTTTTTCTGTTCTCTTGCTCTTTGTCTTGATCCAGGCACGCCGTGAGGGTACAGACCCCGACACAGATGAGTCCTGGAGCTCTCCAGATTCCTCTGATGAAGAGGAAGGAGGTCCAGACCATGTCCAGTGCATGTCCTCCTGAGCCACACACACACACACACACACACACACGCACGCACGCACACACACACACACACACACACACACACACACGCACGCACGTACACGCACACACAGTGGGGTGCAAAATCTGAGACCACTCTCCCTTGAATAAGAAAGTGGTCTCATACTTTTGGACCCCACTTTACATACATATATACACACTTTATTGCCCTTGAATTGATGCACATAGGCAAGCACTATTGACACACTGGCATACTCAAACACTGACGAGCCACAGACTTGGGGTTTTTCTTTCACACATACAATCTCACACAGACAAACACATCATACATTTACTTAAATATGCTGTTGAAGCAGAGTGACAGATTTGTTAACGCCTGGTTTCCCAGCAGTTACAAATGTGCACATGGCGGCTACAGTCTGCATATACACTTCCAAAATCCTGATTTTTGAGAACTGTACGAAGAGGTTTAGTGAGTGCTTACATCCCTATAAACCACTTGGAGGCCCCTGCTTGTCCATACATTATCTATATGCTCTGCCTAGCCCCAGAACTATGTACTGTGCGTGTATGGCAACAAGCACCTCCAACTTTAGGCACCCTGTAGTAAGCTATACATCACCAGCAGACAAACCCCCCCCCCCCGCCGCCCCCCCCTCTCTTAGTAACACATCTCTTGCTCTCAAGCTTTCTTTGCTGATGTAGAGGGGTTCAGCAGGGAGGAAGGGCGTGAACTCAAACCCTGAAACCATCCCCTAAATGTGACTTCCTTTAACATTTGAACTTTGAGGGAAACCCCAGTTCCCGTCACTGCATCACCCCAGCCTCATACTGATTTCTGGCCCTGAGCTTGAGCAGTTAGTTGCGTTTAATCACACGTTTGCTCCCAGAGGACTACTAAATCTCTACATGCTGCATCACCCTACATGCTGCCCTCAGCTGCTCCCTCCCCTCCTCTGTCCATCACCCTCCCCCTCACTACTGAGTGCACTTTGAATCAGGGATGCTTTAGTTTGAGACACAGACAAAATGTGCACTGAGTGTGGAATTTTTTGGGGGAAGAGCTGTTGTCTTGTCGTGTATCTCATTGGAAAATATCCACAGTGAAGTTAAGTTTCTTTCCTTTGTTTTTTTTTTTTTTTTCAAGTGGAGGGGGATATTTTGCACTTAGATATTTCTTGACAGAGGAAGAGGAGGTTTCCTTTTGCTTCCACCAGCCTTTCCTCCTCCTCTTTCCTCTTCTCGCCCCCCTCAGTCTCCATCCTGACACACCCATCTTTGACAGGAAATCTTCAGTTCACCTCTCTCACTGAACATTACAGTGGAGAAGTAGATGGTGTTCAGCATGTGCTTAGGAGATAAGGACCGATTTTGGGCTCTGTTGTTGTTTAAAGAACGAGAACCGACCTGGATCAATCGCAATTGAAACACTGCCGATGAGCCAGTTCAGACTGGAGTAATAAAGGACTACACTTGTTCATGTGGTTCTTTTAAAATCTTTCAGTTATTCTAAACGTCTCCAATCAATTGCTGAGTGACGTTTTTCAGACAAACATTTGAACCAGGTCGGGTGTTAGCAGCCAGCACACCACTTGGGAGGAAACTTCTGTCTGTGCTGTATTAACATTGGCTCAAAGAGGAGGACGGGGGTCGGCAGGGTCAATATGCTTGCCAGTCATTTGTTGTGTGAGAGCGATAAAGTCCAGCTTTTCTCATTTTCTATGAGAACTCTAGTTAGTTGAATTTATATGTACATATATAAATATATATTAAAACTGTAAAAAAAAAAAAGAAAAAAAAAAGAAAAAACTTTAGCAAATGCTGTTTGACTTCAGAAAAAAAAGATGTTGAAACATTTGATTGGTATTGATGCAGAGGTTTATATTCTATATGAGGACAAAGTACTTTTAAATTCCAGAAAAAAAAGTCTTGAAGCACCATTTTTCCTTTTATGAATGACATCCCTCTGTTATGAACAGAATCACTGTCATTTCAAGTATTAAAAGTTTTGATTCTCTTTCTTGTTAAAAAAAACAACAAAAAAACAGTATTTCCTTTCTGTATCTTACTCCATCATTTCAGACAGTTATATTCAGAATTTTCCCACTGGCTATTTTTGGCATCTTGTATACATAAGGCTTTTGATGGACAATTTTTCTCCACCACTGCCTAATATTGCATTCTACCAGTTCAGTTGGAAATATGTACGATTCGTGCAATAAACTAAAAGACAGTGCTCTTGATGTTGTCATTATTTTATGTTTTGATCCTTTGTTGTATTGCTGTACTGCTCTAACATACTGTGTATTGATTTGTTTATTGATTGACATAAGTGGCCACAAGAGGTCCTGTTCTTTATCTGCAGAGACTTAATTCTGTCAACAGTTTTCAAATATCCCTTGCAGGGTTTGATCAATATGTGTTTGATAAAGTTCACACTAGTACTGATTTAGACTGTTGCAAGTGAAATATATTCTGTGCCAATATTTGTTCATTTTTTAAAAAGAGGCACTTCCATAAAGTTTGGGGTGAACTTCAAAAAAAAAAAAAGTGGATTCTGAGATGTCCTGACTTGACCTCAAGTTTAGGTGAAGCCCCAAAAGCACTAAATCCCACATTTCCCATAATGCAAGTCAGTAGTGTATTTTTGTTAGACCAGCCCTTTATAGTAAATGCTCATGTCTTTTAAACTTCACTCCAAGTTTTTTTTTTTAATACAGTCTTTCGGTTAAAAACTATAGTGCCCAAACTGAAATAACTGATGACAACAGGGTTACTTTTTCAGACTTTGGAAAGCTCCACACAAAAAAAGTGCCCAATGTGTTTGAATGCCAAAAGACAAGTTTTGACCAAATACTATTAAAGTCATGCTCTTGATGCCCAAGATGGCAGCATCAATTCCATTAATCACCAGTGAATACTGAAAAATAGTATGGCCCGCCACTGTCATATGCCATCATCAAGAGTGGATGCTAACTAATTAAGAAATGGTGTTATGATAAATGACCAAAATGGTACTTAACAATTAATTGTTCTCAAGGATATTATGTCTTACTTCAAAAAACTTAAAACTATGGGTGCCAGAATTTTTTTCAATGAGAGGACATTTTGACATGTCGCAGTAGGAAAAGCACACGTTTAAATAATGAAATTAATGGTGGCTGAATTCTGTTTAGCTGCTTCAGTGTCACACTGAGCCTGAACACAGTGGGACTCCTGGAGCCCAAATGTCATTGTTAAATCCATCAATAAAAGCTATGCTGTTCCTACAATGACAAGTCAAAATGTCTACTGTGAAAATGCCTATTGTAGTAAATGATGTTTTGAGCAGAGGCACGTCTTTGTCCAAAAGGTTTGCTGTCTGATAATTCGGTGTTTTAGAGTTGCCAGTTTGAGGATTCATTACTCTGTGGTTTTTTAAATCAGTTTGCATTATACTTCAACTGTCCACATCTGAAGCACCTCACACTTGCATAACATTGGTGTACAAGAGCTACCTTTTGTTTAGTCAATGTCTGCCTCTTGTCATATTCCCATGACCTCTTGTATTTACACTTTTTCTCCATTATGTAAAAAGCCACCCAAGTAACCATAATTTATGATGAACAGAACTAAAACTGTTATTTCGCCTGAGAAATGATCTGAAAAATGATCGTTATATCATGGTTTTATTCAACAGTTCTCTGAGTGAAAACTCAAACTCGTGACATAATGGACAGCCTTATTTCACATGAACAAAACTGACAAAAACAAGATGGTTACATTTAGAAACAGTGACGTCTGATTTGTAAATCTAATTATGTTGTGTTTTCTAGTTAGAGAACCGAGACTGATGTGCACAGCTGAAAACCAGTTCTCTGGGTGGTGTCTACAACAAAACCAGATCCAGGAACACACATTTCAACAACTGTGAACTGAGGCTCTCATAACACAGAGCACATTCCTGTTGGCTACTTTAACAATTTGGGCCATTTCTTTCACTCATCTCACTTGACACAAAATGATTTGAAAATCACAAGGATATAATTCAAGAGGACAGGAGATGAAATATGAGACCAAAACCAAGCTTGTACATAATGCAGTAAAAATAGCCCTTCACAACCCATCCCAATCGACAAAAAATCAAATATAATATTGTGATATTATTTTATGAAACAAACCTCTTTTGGAATGAGTTGCTAATCCATGCAGTCAGCTGGTTTAAATTTCCCAAACACAGGAGGTGATAGTCTGTCGCAGCCCCTGCAAACTTGGTGCAGTCTATCAGCTGGAGTCCTTCCCCCACCTCACACATGTAGGAGATGTCTAGACTATCAAACAATCCTCCACGACATAGTGCAGACGTAGATATTAAAAGAGGCACTATCATGGGCTTTCACTTGTTGCCTCACTTAAGCTGATGTGTTCTCTCTCTCTCACACACACACACACACACACACAGAGTCACATCAAACTGACAGGAATCCAAAGGCACAGGAGCCAAGTGTCAGGTGTGTTATTCCTTGTATTCCAGAAACTGCTGCAGTCTTTTCCGGTGCTCTGCAGACATCTGAACAGCACTGAGGATATAAAAAAAAAAATGTATATACTCAGTATAATCATCTTTTTTCCATTGGATAAAAAAAGTGAATTTTTAATGACAGGCCTTACTTTAAGTGATCACCAAAAGTGGTTGTTATCCTGTAGATGGCAGTCTTGAGTGTGGCCCTGAGAGCAAAGCGCAGTGTTTTGTAAGTCGAGTCTCCCATGCTGCTTGTCGACCTGACGGGCTTACTGGAGGCATGAGGCAGCTTGAAGTGACGATCTACAGCCTGGAGACGAGGAGGACATGACTGTTGTCAGTGTGCATACAATTCAAAGTAACAGCAGCCATTTGTTTTCCCTGCATCTACCCTGCAGTGTAATGAGGCTCTGTTGTGTGTGCATGGCGTGTCTGTGTAACCATGTCATCGTGTCACTACATTGTTGATGTAATCCTCTATGTAGTGACTGAAATCTCAGTCTCAGCTTCTTTTCCTCGCACAACACAAGGACAGTAATAGCAGTTAAACTGAACAGTGACTGAACGCTGCAAAGACACAGAACTGCTTCTTGCCCGACAAATTGATCAAACTGATAAAATCTCAGCAGTGGACAACTCAAAACCTTGTCAAATAAAACCATAAGTGTCTAGACTACATGCTTAAGCATCATGTAAAAATTTACCAGGTTGATAATGTGAACATTTTTTTGTGATTTGGATGAACAGTCTTATTTTAGCAAGGTCGCATTTTTATTTTATTTTAATTTACAAGTACAGTAAACCAGCTTACCTCTTGCAAGACCAGCATGCAGCTGAGAATGCTGGGTAATGTAGTCTGTACAACCCCAAACTGGTCTTCTGAGAAGGAGGCTTGAACAAGATAAGACAGTCCTGCGGACAGATATTAGAGCAAATAATGAACATGTTGGGGTTAAGAGGATGCATCCATATCAAATGAAAAATGATTTATTGGGTCCACCATCTCTTCCTACCTTCTAAAGCCCAGATGTGAGCCTGGCTGTCAGCAAAGAGGGCCTGACTCGAGGCTTCTGGAAGCTGCAAGACACAGTGTTAGCTAGTAGGAGTTCTCTCTTCAAATGACAATAACAGGTTCAGGCCGATTAATAAGGAATTTGTTACTTGGACACGGTTTAGTGAGACTACACTACAGCATGCATGCGTGCTTAAAGGAAGATGCATAAACCTCAGAAAGCAAAGCAGGCTTACCAAACTAGTTTCTACATAAAGGAAGAGGTGTAATGCAAGTACGATATTTAGCTCTGATTAACCCTTCAGTACATCACACTTTTGATACAATCACAAAAACAAGATTTCTAAACACCGATTAACACCTGTTTTATAGTACTCAACTAACATTAGCGACATGTCATACAACTCCTTAATTCAAGCTTTTAAGGTAATTAGTAAGGCTCATTGTAACAGCTAGATGGGTGGAAAAGAGCTACATTAGTAATGGCTGAACAACTAGGCCCAACCAGGAGATGAATTAGTAATGCCTGCAGGGTGAGGTTGTTAGATTTGTTGAAACCAAAGGAAAATCTACTGTGTCAAACAAGAGCATACAGGAAGACCCTCGGTGGTCAGAAGCCTAAAGGGAGATTAGCATGCACATGCCACACATCCTTACCTTGTTAAACAAATACATTATCAGCACCCGCTTTGCCAAGAAATTTTTAACCTGAATGGGACAATTAAGTGTAAAGTTGTTTTGGTAAGGAAACAAGGCAAGATAATGAGCACAAATAAAAGCACTTAACCCTGCGCTGAGACCCTTGCAAAAAAAAAAAAATATTTGAGATATCTCCTCATTTGAAGTGGATATACACTCCCACCAGAATAGAAGGCAGATGATGTGACCTTTACTATATAAAGCAGAAGTTATCATTAGTACATCAGTAACCAGGCTCCACATTAGATACATGTTGCAGAAGTTGTTGAGAACTTGATCCTTATTTCAGTCACAATTCATCTCTGAAGCTCCCTCATAAATTATACTGAGCAAATGGAGAATTGTCCATTTTCACACCTGTGAACAGCTGATTGTCAGTTTTGGAAAGTTGACCATTGCGTTTGACTCTTATGATACTATCCAAAAGTATTAAATGCTAAGTGTGAAAAGCCTTGTCAGAAGCACAATGCTAGACAGACTGACTAACATTATAATTCTGTTCTGTAACAAGGCTGATGTACCTGCTCTTTTCTGTTCTGGAGGAACTGAGCCAGGAGACTTGGTTTGGAGGCTTCCTGCTTGGGACTGGGAACCGAGGCAGGGGATGGTGGGAGACTGCTGTTGGCCTGTGAATCTACAGACAGATAGAGGACAACGTCACAAATTGAAACAAGAAAGCTGGACTCTCAGATATCTAATCAATCATCTATCCACTAGTAAACTTATGTAATGATCCCCTGAGCCACTGACAAGTTGGCATACTGCCACGCAAGAAGTTCGAAACCTGTAGCAATAGCTGAAATTAGCTGATTAGTTCAATCATTTCAGGTGAAAAAATATACAGAAAGATGAAAATTACACCTCAAAAATGACTAAACATATGATCAGTTTCAGATCTACATATAACAGATCTGAGTGACCTGTCATCTTTCATGAGCCTCCTCTCACCTGTGGAGGTGGACCAGAGTTTTGGTGCTCTCCTCATGATGTGAGGGCTCTGCACCGTGCCGTACCACGGAGAGCATTGTTCTGCTGGAGCAGTGAGGCGCCGCAGGGCTGGAGAAGCAAATGGGCTGTCCAGGTCAGGAGTGAATGGTACTGTCAGAGGGCTCTGTGCACCTCCAATAATAGAGCGGGAAAAGACTGAAGCTGGAGTTTTCATCAACATAGTGGGCCTCGGGGACATCATATCTTCTGTACCTGAGATTACTTGAAAGAAAAATAAAAAGGACAGAGGGTTAAGGTCATAAACAATTAAATTTCTTTAACATTTTCACCCAGTTTTCAGATTAAAAAAAGATCTTTATGATAGTTGATAGACTGTGTCAATTTCCTAGGCATTAGCCTTCTAATTACTATTCACAATAAAAGCTATTACAACATGTGTCCACAACTACATAAAATATGTAATTATATAATATATCAGGGCTTTTATAACTTTTCCAAACAGAATTTATCAAATAAACGTTTCCATAAATGACTAGGTCTTCACTAATATCAACCATTGGTTTACAACAACATACCTGATGTCTCAGATGAAGTCTTCCTTTCACTTCCAGTAGACAGTGATTTGGCCCTGCCATTGGTTGCTACAGTGTCATGATAGGCTACAAGTCTCTGGGTCAGATCAGCCAGCAGAGACAGACACTCCCTACTGATGGCGTTCCAGTTATGAGGATGGCCACCTGAGGAAGAGAAGAATGAAAACATACAGTACACTAAACACATTTTGCTTTTGTTCTAAGCTTAAAATACAATCTGAAGTGTGTTGAGATTTATTTTACTCAGGACAAAAAAATAATCAAAAACAGCGTAAGCAAGAACCTGTTTTTTGCATGGATTACATAACAGACCTGGCTGACTCAGACTGAAGACCTCACAGCGCCGTGATGGGGAACGTTGAGACAGCAGAGCCAAGTCCTGCAGAGCTAGGAACTAAAATTTGGGGAGGGAATCACAATCAAAATTTGGGAATCAGCAGGCACACAAGAAAGAGTTAATGTGAAAGAAGCTACATCTGTTTTACTTACCTTTAATATCATTGGCTGCTTGCCTGTAAGAACTTTGGGAAGACACTGGTGGACATCTTCATTAAATGATGACTGCACAGGAAAACTGCACACCTGAAAGTGAGAAACATGTTCGATAACATATTAACTCATTAAGTCAGGCTTCTTAATTATTATTTTTGACTGATCATGTAAGATAACAGTGAGACATTTACCAATGATATTCACACAACCCTGTTAAGACTGGTGTTTTTCCAAAAACCTTAACAATCAAAGCAATGACAACGCTGCCCCCTAGTGTCTCTAAATAATTAAAGGCAAACAGGAGTTGTCTTTGCCTTGCGACACTACACCTTACTTTTAAGTCATTCATGAACTGGCCAACGGAAACTGCAGAGTGTGCTACTTTATGGTGGTCACAATGGTCAGGAGATATGTTGATCATGTAGTGTGTAAGGTTAATTAGTAACAGCTAACCAGCAGATCAGTAAAAGTAAAAAAAAAAAAAAAAAGTTAATCAAAGCAAAAATTGTTACACAAAAATAAAACAAAGACAAAAAAAAAGAAAAGAAAGAAAAAACATACCTCTGTGACAAATATCCTGAAGAGCAGCAGAGTGATGTACCATGTGAAGAGGAGGAAGGTGGCACTCATCCACAGCTGGTAGAGCAAGGACAGGTCCAGCAGTCCAGCTATGCTGTCAAGAGTGTGGATGGAGCTGGAGGTGGAGATTGCACACAAACATGCAATGCTTTACATTGGTCCAGAGTCTGGCCATGGCCAAAACATTAACAAGTATTTTTGTTTAATTGTAAATAATCAAAGAAACTATACTGACCTGTTCAAGTGAAGATTCAGAGTCTTACAGATCCATGCTCTTGGAATGTATCCTGTTAATATTCGATGAAAATATTTTATTTATTACTTCTAGTAACTTTGTGTAGAATAAAAGCAGCGTTCAAGAACAATAACTGTACAATAAATAAAAGTGACTTTTAAAAAGACCCTGAAAGCTTAAACTTCTCGCGCAGTTTGTTTTCAGATGTAGGAGCTTTGAGTTAGTGGAGTTATCATCATTAACAGAGGTCACTTACCCAAAAAGAAATACAAAGCAATGAAGTTCCTGATAGAGTAAAGTGCTTGAGTGGCACTGCACTTCACCACCAAAGGCAGGGATCCCTTGAAGCGAAGGTATTTGTATTGCTGGGGAAATAACAGGTAAGCATGAATAACAATAACTACATGGAACTCAACATAGATAGCTGGTATTTTTGTTTTCTAAAGTTTGGGTTAATTGTTTGGGCTCAATAGGTTATTTAAGGTGGTATTGGGTGCACAGTCTGTAGTTAGAGACACCAGGGTTCAGGAAATATGCATGTATTCATCTAGACTGGCAGTAGAGGTATATTCACACTGTCACAGTCATTACATATGAGACCAAGCCATTCAGGAAAAGAAAATTCTCCGTCAGATAAATGAGTAACCTCATATCACACACCTGGACAGTGTGGAAGGAGACATAGTTCATGTTGTGGATCACACCCAATAGACTGTGAGAAAATCCAACAAAGGCTCCAGCCAGCATAAGGACGAGGTGATATTCATTCAGACACATCTGAGAGGAACTGTAAGTGTGGAAAACAAATTGAGGCAGTTAGACAATGGCTGAAGCACGTAAAGCTCAATGTTGTAGTTTTATGTGGCAACTGCCTACCCATCACTCTGCATGCATGGGTAGCTGAGCGTCTCATAGCTGCCCCCAATGAAGACGGCACAACACCAAGCCACAATTAATCCCATGATGCAGTGGACAAGGGAGTTGACAAACTGACGAGGGTGGAGCAGCTGACCCAACAGGGCGATTTTTGAGCATGCAATAGCTGGGATGACTAAAGAGAAACACAAGAACAATAAAGTTACATCAACCATTTTTAAGAGACTGTTCCCAACATTGTATCAGAGGAATATACTGGGATATATTAGACTGCAATGTATATATCATTCCTTACACAAAAACTGATAATAATAACCATTTTGGATCAAATTATGTAGTCCTGAGTACTGTTGAGACATATCCTATCCCTGTTAGCTATTCTGTTTGTCTGCTGTATATAATACTGAACTGATGAGCATTCATTTATGTCACTTTGTTAAAGTGAAATAAATATTGTCATCCAAATAACCTGTTGATTACAAGACAGCTTTCAAAACAAAGTCAACTGTAAATAACAACAAATATAATATCCTCAAGATCATATCTTCTTCAAAGCCTGCAACTCACCTGTATAATACTCCAGGTTTAAGAACCCCACCATGAGAATCACTCCACCCAGCAGGATGAAGGAGAAGATGGCACTTGCACTCGTTAACAGGGAGAAACATTCTGTGGGTAAAGACAAGTGTAAGCTTCACACACAACTTCACACAGCTCAAATCTCAAAAGGAACATGGTGATTGACCTGTTATTGTGTGGATGGGGTGGAGAAGATTGAACCTGCTGAGGATTACAAAAACTGCTGTGATGGGTGGCAACAACAGGACAGCCCAAGCAATACTGGCCACTGCTCTCCAGCAAATCACCTGAACAGAGAAGTCAATCATTATAATATATGTCACAAATACACAAGCATTAACTATTAACTCACCTTTATAGTAACTGTCACAACTGTGACATTTAATTGAGAGTATATTCAAAAGTATTAGGCTAATTCTAAATTGTCTTACAGTGGTTTATTCAGAACCATTTTCTCACTTCTTTCCACAGACCTATTATAATATAAATATCCCTTGTTGCTCTAAATGTTAAGGACCCCCACTGAATGATTTTGTGGGTTTATGTAGTATTCATGGAGGAGGGATCCCTCCTCCATTGTTCCTTGTTTAGCATGTTAAAGCGCTTTTTGGAGAGTTTTCCTTATCTATAGGGTGTCTCATGCTGTACAGATTTTAAGGCCATTTCAGGTATATTTTTGGGTTACAAACAACTGACTTGATGTATGCACTGAATGACACTTGAATTTTCTGTTCATCTGCAATAAGAACAATGAAGCATCTGTTCTTCCAGGGTAAACACATTTTCGAAAATATAAACAAACTGGTGTCCTTAAAAATTGAGAATGCATTTACATATTCTAAGTCTTTTTCTAATATGATTGAGCTCTCTTGCTGGATTTTGCTAATTTGATCATTGTACCTCTTTTAATTTAGTTATAATACAGTTTACACAGGACTTCATAATTTGATCCAACAAGATTATTATTATCATCAGGTTATTTTTTCTCATTTTAGCAAAGCAAGGTGACATAAATGAATGTTCAATCGGTTCAGCATTAATATACAGCATTAATATACAGCAGCTAACAGGGATAACAGGAATTGTACCTATAATATATGATACAGTTTACATGGGACTACATAATTTTATTTTTGTGTTCAGTCTAGTAGGTGAATGCGATTTATCCAGTACAATGATCAACTTTGTTTAATTTAATCCTGGGAGGTTTGGTTGACTTTTTTCCAAAGTAGGTTCAAAGAAAACGGTATGCGGATTAAAACGAAAGGTGTGTACCAACATGTCTAAATATCAGTTTTTAATTGTCTCGTGTTTATAACGTATGTACAAACGGACATTTTGCTATTTTGTTTTCGATAATTCAAACTGTATTTTTGAAAGCTGAAAGAGCGCCTGTTAGCTACATTCACATAAACTAGCATAAACACAAAGTTAGCAGTTAGCAAGCTAGCACAAGCGAAACACTTTCTGTTATGAATGAAGAACGGATTTCAAAAGACAAAATACTCACCTTGCGGATAAACCAACAAGTTTGCTTTGTAGAAAACATGTTGTTTGGATAAATAGACATCCACACGGTGACTAAACTCTCCCCGGCTGTCCTGCTGTCAAACTAATCTCCACTCAGTTTCCCATATCGCGCCACATGCACTCAAAAGACCTTTGAAGGACCCAGGTTAATAGTTGTCCATCTTCCTGCCTGCTGCCAGCGTTTCACATGATCCATATGGATTTACTTTAAATCTGCTTGTTGAACAAAAATTATACATGTACAGTAAATTTTAACCCATGATTAAATTGCATAAGGTCATAAACAATAATTACAATTAAAATGTTTTGGTTAAAGGTTGATTTAAACATAACTAAAAAGTGAAGCAACGCTTCAAATGATACAAATGCTGGTATAACAACATTGTCACAAGATTAATTTACACAAGGCACCAGGATAAGCCATACTCATTGTTTATATTATATCTCCTTTTACTCATTTATTTGTCAAGTACAACATTAGTCCAATGATTATTAGCTATATATCTGCTCTACTTTATTAAAGCAGAGTGTTAGTGGCTGTCTTTTTCTGTCAGAATCTAATCAGTTCTGAATTCCTTTAGTTTCATCATGCATGAAAGCTTTCTTGTCATGATGATAGCCATTTCCATAAGTTGGAAAACTGTGTTTATCCAAAACAGTCTTTTTGTCATTGTCCCGAGAGAATGGCTTGGTCTCAAAAGCATTGACTGGGAGCTTTTGTGATGAACTGATGGACATCTCAGTTTGAATTGCTTTATGAATAAATGGTTTCTGTCCAGGTTTCTGCGTAATTGCAGGGAGGGCGAACTGCTCCCTCTGGGCCTTCTTGTCCTCCCACAGCTTTAGCAAACGGCGCTGATTATTTGTCATGTCCTTGAGGTTTTGCTGCAATGACTGAACTTGGTCCTCTAAAAGAGTTTTAGACGTGACTGTATTTGCCAACTCTGATGTCAAATCATCAATGGTCAGGCTCAGTTTCCCAGCCTTCTCCACCAAGGAACTGCACTCACGCTCCTTCTCATGCAAGTCATTGATTATGTCCTTTGTGGTCTTTCCATTGAACTTGGGGCTGCATTCAAGTCCAATCTCAGTACGAAGAGCCTTCACCTGTTTCCTCAGCTCCTTGTTGTCCATGGTCATGGTTTTCAGTTTCTGTTTCAGAGCCTCAGTTGAACGCATCCTTGACTCATACTGTCGGAGTTTCTCTCTGAGAACACTTTCTCTGTGCATGGCATCATCTCTTTCCTTTCTGCATTTCTCCAACAGTTTTAAAGTCTCAAATTTGGACACTTTTTCACCTTTCCCATTTGAGGTGGCCATCCTATGGAAAGGTTTTCAAATCACAATATAAAAAAATTAAAATTAAAAAGGCATTTTCTTAAAAAAAAAAAAATATATATATATATATATAAAAAGCAATTCAAATAGTCCTCGAGAATTGGGCTAATAAATCCACAAGCACGAGCAGCTGCCTGCATGCCTGAGACTGAGGCAGGTGACATTCCTCTAAAAGGGTTATCTGTTTGACAGGCAGCTCCTGTGTAACTCAAAGCTGGGGCTAGAATGACCATTAATTAGGGCACCACAATCCCTTTGACACCGTTTCAAGTGACACAATTTTTTTTTCTGTTTTGTTAATTAATCTAAAAACTGTGCCCTTATTGATCAATGGAAATATTATTAAGTGTTAACTTAGGTCCACTGTGTGTAAGGTGCTGACCACACGCTGAGTGCTTGTAGAAACAGGCTTTACATACATAAGTAACATTTTCCACTGCAGGGGATCTGTGTATCCAAACAACGACACAGTAGATTCTATCAGTTTGCTCAACCACATGACAGTAAAGATAGATAGTTGGAAAAACAGAAGCAGCAGCCAAATGTCTACTTTTAAAGTTGGACACTCTCTTTGGATTGCTGAAGTTACCTATTGGTTACAATCTCTCCCTTAAATATTTAAAATGTCCAACTGTTGAAATGTACTGGCAGCCTTTAATGCTATCAGGAGCTGGCAGAAAAGAGTCACGTTGCCTACATGTGGGGGAGCCGGGGTGAATTAAGGTTGTACTACCTAAAACTTAAAGTTTACTGGAAGAAAATGTATTAATATCTATATATAATAATAATAATAGTAATAATGATGATAATAATGATATATTTTTTTATATTATAATTTATATGATGCAAGTATCCAGAGTCCTTACACAATTTTTTACATGGACTTCAGATGCAAACTCATTGTTATTACAGGTGGAAAACACTGAATTCAGATGCAATTTATTATGATCTAAATGACAAAACACTAAAGTGATTAGATTCAGTGTGAGGATATTTTCTAAACGTTTTCAAATTAATTTGAATTTCAATTGATATTTAGCCTTGTTTTTTTTTTTTTTTTTTTTAGGTTTTAATGAAAAAAAAAGAAATGCACTAAAACATGTGGAAATAGCAACCCTGGCTCTGTCTGAATGTAACAAAATCTTCCTTCCAGCACCACTAAAGCTTGCTAATTAACACACTGTATCTTATTCCCTCTGTTTGCGATCGTTATGCTAAGCTAAGCTAACCAGCAGCAGCTTCATATTCATACTAACGACATGAGACCGGTTTCAATCCTCCGATGCAACTCATGACAAGAAAGCGAACAAGCATATTTCCTAAATTGTTGAATTATTTCTTTAATATGGGTAAAGCCAGTATGCAGATAATCTGTTCATATGGTCTAATTTATGATGGAAAATAGGCTCTAGGTGAACTGTAAATTGATCACTGTCATGACATTGATGATTTCATTAATAAAAGTGGCCCACACATAGACCATGTTTTATTTTATTCCCCATGAAACAGACATATTAAATTTCATCAAATGCAGTCTGTAACAATAGAAAACAAATGAATTACAAAAATAGTTACACAAGTTGTAAATCACTTGGACATTTACGATGGGTCTTTGGCATTAGCTAAGGGCACTTATACCAGTTAGAGAAAAATACAATAACTCTGTATACATAATAAGTCCAAACCCTTGAAAATCTTACCAATACCTATAATTGTTTGTATCCTGTTTATGTGGAAAATTCTGTACATACATATACAAACCAGTTGTCTTTATAGGTATATAAAAAAATGCATATACAAACTGCCACCAACATCACTGCTCATACTGGTTATCTGTATATTTCAACTTAAGAACTATAAAGCATAAAATTACCATACTAAAAGAGATCTTGTGTGCTTTGTTAATTTAGAACCCATCCCATAAGAAAAAGCATACTTAATAGTGGTGTTCATTTCCAGAGGTCATGCAGTTGCACGAAGTATACACACTGGGTTAAAGGTCTTAAGCCAGAATGTCCAAGTGCAGGTGAAATCTAGACGACCAATGACTTCATCACCACAGCAACCCGATTCTTTCTAATAAGGCAACAGGAGAACCTGCAATCTAAAAAAGAATAACACTTGCTTTGGGAAGGAGAAATCGTGTAGAGGAAGTCCGGTGTCATATGTTCTCCTCTAGCAGGTCAAAATAACACAAGCTTGAGCCACAGCCACTAAAATAGGACAACAGTGTAGAGCTGCTACTGCCCTAGGAGGTCATTATTCTTTAAACAATTGAGTGCAAAAATAAAAACCACCATGAGAAAGCACAAAGTGGAGAAATATGACTTACATGCATCAGGTTATTAGTGTATTTGAACAATGGGCTCATGGCTTTAAAAGCTTCTGTGTCACTATTGTTTACCTTCAAACAATGAAAGGCTTTCATGACGAAGGCTGCACCTCGATTGCTGTAGAGTTAGGTGGTAGATCTGGTTGTGGGTTGCTAAAGAAATAGGCCTGAAAAAACAAGAAAATAAGGGAAATAGTGAAAAATAACCTGAAAAGAGGCAATTACATGATTAAGAGAAACTACTCATCAATCAAGAACTAAAACTGGAGTGTCTGAGAGTAAGTGTGCAGCAAATGTTCAGTGTTACAAGAGAGAATACAGCATTTCTGAAATCCATTCATCTTGGTCAGCCTTCAGACATGGCTTACTTTGTAGACTAATTACATGAATGTGACCAGACAGATGATACTCCTGCAGTGCAGACCTGACAGTATTCACATTAAGAAGTGCACTAACAGCCCGTTGTCACACCAGTTAGCAATGCGGTCACAGTTTCCAATGAAGAGAATCTCCCTAGAGGGAGTTAACTTGACACTATCAGGTATAGACATTTCCCAGAAACACACAGGCAGAGACACGCAAAAATGTCTGTATAGTTTAGTCCGTGATTGACGTAGACAAGTTGGGTCAAGGCTTGGCCATGCCACTGAGATCACTGAAGACAATTGAGAGTAAGTCAATCATTGTTATCTATACCAAGATGGCCAGGCAGCTTGAATCAATTGAATTAGTGCAGATGTAGTTTGCCAAAGCTTGACAATGAATGTTGTATCTTATTTCCCCAAACAGATTTATTTTCCATATCTTTTAAATTTGTAATTTATCCTACCACAAAGGTTATGTAAAAGAAGCATCATAGCTATGGCACAATTACCTTACAACCAACAGCAAGCAGGGCGTTGAACACCACAATGGCTGACATGACTGCTATGATCACTTTGGGGTGGTCATCCCGGACTGCAGGCCAGAAAGTCATCATCAGCACTGACCCAGAGAGGCAAAGAGCCACCACGATGGAGGTCCACCTCAGCCATTGATATGGAAGAATCCATAAGACCTTATTTAGGAAACAACAGTGCATCATAAAATACATGTGCAGAATCAGTCAAACATTTGGATGAACAGTGTGTATGTGCCTCATTTAATGAGAAATACTAAAAGGCCAAAAACAAAGCCCTAAATGTATTAATGATACAGGGGACAATACGTTTTCATTGAGTATCAAGAAATTAAATGTGTAGTGGAAACATTACAATATAATGAGAGGTAAGAATATTTTGTATTATACACAATTAGTCAATACACAGCTCTAAAGTCAATTCATATGGTATTTTGAGACCTTCATGACAGGCTGTGTTCAAAATGTGTTGAACAATGCTTTGCTGTGGTTTCTGAGCTAATTTATGTTGCCACATCTTGTTGTAATTGAGGCACAGCATATGCAGCTTAGAAGTCACTCTAAATGCATCAGAGTAGCTTTTAAACACAACTGTTTCATTCCAAAATGCCAAATATTATACTTTTATAAAGCTAAATGTTACAGAGATTTTAAGCCAAAATATAAAGAGCTACTTTTAGCTGTAGTGAAAATGCATCACAACCTGACATAGCATATGAAAAATAACTCCTGTTATTCTGAGATAAAAAGAAAATTTCATATCTTACCACCGCTGGTATGTATATTGAAAGTGAATAGCCGTACACACAGACTATCTCCATAAAGGAGTATGACACCAAGTTCATGATCTTGTTGTTTCTCCATAGCAGGAAACCCCAGAGGGCAAGAGGCACCAACCAAGCATAGCTGAAGATTGCTGTTGCAGCTATGGTCACTGGAAAACACAGTACATTTAAAAATAAGAGATTTTAAGAGGAATTTACAGTATAGTTTCCTCTTACACTCAAACTGAGCAAGTGAGCTGTGAACACCAAAGAATAAGAGCACTTACCTTTTCCAAACTCTGGGGTATACTTGTAGTGTGGCTTGCCTAAGTGCACCAGAAAGTTGGATATGTTACCACTGATAGCAATGGCAAACACAAGAGTGGTGCAAATCCAGAATGGTCCTGAAAGCACAAATATCAATGATTGTCAAAGATATCAACGATTGTGTGTCTGTCTGGACAACATCTAATTGTCTAATTAGGACATGAAAAGTGCTAACCATAAAGATCAGGATTTCGACGAAGGTAGACCTGAATAAAGTTCTTTCCAGGCCATGGCAGCACTGATCCAATGATTCTTTCCTTCACCTGAAAGAAATAATACCCATTACATATGCAGGTTAATTAAACCTACCTTTGTTCTGATGCACTCTATGTTACATGACAAATTGTCATAGTGGTTAAGTGTTTAAAAGAAGTTGTAATTATATTACGTGATGGGTCTCAATGTCAAAAAATTGTTGGTAGTACTCGAATGTCCAGAAAGGGACACTTTTCTTTTGCCCAGAGAGAAGCTTTAATTGGAAAAAGAAAAAACATATAGAAAAACAAAATTAATCAAATTAATATTTGATGCAACACCATTTAATGGTTCATAGTTTAAAAATTCACACTTTCTCTATAAGTTTTTGTCTTGTCCTGACCTCAGACTTGTCGTCATAGGCAAGTGGGTCCTCATCATCATCACCACCAGCAGTTAAACCACCAGATTTTCTCTGGTTCTCAGTTTGGATAGCTTCATCTTCAATGCTTATGGTGGTTGCATCTCTGTTGGCTTCTAATAGATTGCCAGCTTCTTCAAATTCTAAATCCATGGCATAGATGAATGGAAAATATTAATCATAAGTTTTGACGGTTGGTTTTTTGAGTGCAGTGTGGCAGTGAGGCAGTTACATCAGGAGGAGCAGTGAGAGATGTGCGTTTACAGATGATACAGAGACTGATAGAGAGAGAGCTGTAAACTGTAGCAAAGCATCACTGAGGCAACTCCATTTAATGACAAAAAACATTTTGGTGGACACTCACCTTGAAATTGAAATGGATCATTTGTCGACGCCATTTACACGGATTCACTCTCAACAGAGATCCTCTCTCAGTAACTTATCGGCTAGATAGTGTTGCAGGAAGGCAACACCTTAATCTTAGAAAACTGTGAAGGAAAGAAACATTTTATTTAGCTTCCAGGGCTAATTATTCCCTCGCCTTACATTGGATCAAACCGTTCAAAACAATGAGAAATACAGGAAAAGAGACACGTAGTAAGTTAGCTTCCTAGTTAGCTACCAAGCCTTCACTAGGCAGCTCATCAACAACTAGCCAATTACATTAACCGATTAACACGATTAGAGGCGAAAAAAAATGACAAAAGCCTCGTTTATATTTAAGAAGCCAGTACTTCGTTTTGTTAGTTTCTTTAAACTATACATGCTTACCAAATGATCTCCCAAAACTCATGAAAATCATTTCACTCCTCCAAACTAGCCTTTGCGTTTCCTGGGCCAGGACATACATGTCAACAAGACTTCTTCCTGTTAGGAAACATTTTCAAAGTAAGCGTTCGAACTTTTTAAAAAACGTGACATATGATTGACCGTGTCATGCCAGATTAATTATGATGTTTGTACGTGTTTTTTCACGTAAAATTCGTGCTACTTATGACGATTTTTTAGTATCCTGGGATGCTGAAACAAGCGTCTATTAGTAGTAGACTTTTAGTTTGAAGTTAGCTAGCAAAGCTTCAACTATCATAACTTCCTGTGTGGAATTACCAAACGGAACTCGATATACTTGTCAAAATACATGCAAGTAGTAAAAGCCTTGAAGTGTAATGTGGAATATAATGAGAATAGCTAACAAATATTTTGGGATTTTTGGGGAGAGGTTTTAGCTTAAGTCAACGACGCTATTCATCAGCTACCTAGTGAGCTATTTTTTGTTCTGCTCCAAGGGTTTCGCCGGCTAGCTAAGCGTGCATGAGTAGAGAGTTTTGTGTGACCTCAGTATGGACAATGGCACTATTTATGTCCGTGAAAGAGGCAACCTTCGTCGTGTCAGTGACATAGTCCTGGCACAGCCAAAGCCAGTGTCATCATGCAGAAGGACGAATCCGTTTGTGCTGAGAAAGGAACATTTCACATTCACCTACAATGCAGAGGGAAGTTTGAGATACACCGCAAAATCTCTTTTTGATATCACTCTGTTGTTCGTAGCTGACAATATTCACCATGTGGACTCTCTGGTGGGTTTCCCTGAGCAAATAGGAGACAGACTTTTTGCAGCAGCAGAGGAGAACCGTGTATTTTCAAACACAGATGTTTCTCCAAAAGCCCTCCAGTTATTTAGTGATGCATATGGGCAGATGGTGCTTGGATCCCTCTGTCTTCGAAACAGGTAAGTTATAGTGCCAGTGTAATGTATCTCTTCTCTCCCAAGTTTCTTTGCCACAAACCGTAGCGTTTCTTGTCCCTCTTTCGTTTCTGCAGGTTTCCACTTTTGCATGAGAGGATGGAAGAAATAAAAACATTTCACAGTCTGAAGTCTCTGGATTTGTTTGGCTGCAGACTGGGCGATGATCATGAGATATTCCAGCATCTAACATCTAGCTCATTGGCAAAGTAAAAATACCTGACTTCTCAGTTCCAACGAAACATTGTGGCGAATCAAAAAAAAAAACTAAAAAAACAAAACACTACTAACACTTGTGCATTTCATCTTTAGCAGCCTCATTCAGCTTTTCATCGGTGGGAACAATTTGTCAGATGTTGGCTTACAAAGATTGACTGCACCTATCCGGATGATGAGGAAGGGACTGGATTGTCTTCAGCTTCTAGATGTTTCCTGTTAGTTAATAGAATATTAACTGCTTCCATACGGTAACACAAATACCACTATCTTCATATTTAAAGCTGTCACAAGTTGATGTCCAGTGTTGATCTCTTTCATATACAGATAACCCCATCTCAGAGAGGGCCCTCAGATACCTCACATGCCTCCCCAAACTTGAAAAACTTGACGTATCTGGGACTAGTTTGAAGGTAAGCCAGTAATGTTTGTGTGTAACACCTGGTTATAGTTCAGTGTGATGCTGATCTCTAAATGTAATTTATACCTCCAGCTTGGTGCAGGTTTGAAAACGACCATATGGAACCAGTTGGGACTCATTTGTTCTGAGAAACCTCTGGACATCTTTGATCACTCAAGATGCAAAACAGAAGGTTGGGCAGAGCAGGTAAATGTCCACAGACACTGATAGAAGTATAAATGTTGAAGGTGTAATACTGTTTGACAAATGCTTGACTCGTTTTCAGGTTGTAAACCAGTGGGAAACGAATAGTTCACAAATGCCAAAGCAGAAGAAAATTGAAGAATCAAGAACATCAGCTCTACGCTTTTGTAAGTTTTTGTTCATTTTTCTTTTCATGTTACATTGCATTACATTCTAACTGTCTACTGGTTAGTCAAATTGAGTGTTTTGACATTTTACCTAGGATGGTAATAAAAGTCTCATTGTTGTGTAGTTGGAAGGCAGAAGTTTGTCAGAGAAGTCCTGAATGCAGCACCCCTGGTATGTGAGAGTGAAGAGGAGGCCAAGAGAGACAGACTGCATTTCTACAGACCTGAAGCAAAGAATCACATACCTGAGAAACAGGTTCCTTACACGTTAAATCAACAAGAGAAGACTTCGTGGCACAACATCAAAAAACGACAGCGTCAGTCAGAAAGGTGTGACAGTTCACGTCGTAGCCCTCCAACAAAACGTTCGCCGTCATCAGCGCTTACTGCAGAGGACATTGAATTGTTGAACAGCTATTGAGGTATGCGTCCATAAAGAGCACAACACAAGTGTGACCATTAACAGGTAACATTTAGGCTCAAAGGAACGAGAATATTTTTACAAGAATGTTCCCCCTAGTTAACTGTAAACACTTTTTCTTGGATACTAGTGGAGTTTTAGATTTATTTTTTATAAATAAAGGTCAATATTTTGTATGTGTCCATTTCCTTGTTTGTCATTTTGTCAAACCACAAAGCAGACACTGACTTTACACACAGCACAAAAAGGAGAGTCAGGGGTTAATAGGGGACCCTCTAGCACATAAACCCAACCATGAATACATCCTCATTGTACTATCATAGTATCATACTGTAGTGTAGTTTAACCTAAAAATTATTGTACACAGGTATGTTTAAAAAAACATGTTAAATGACAGCATTTTGTTGTTTTATCCCCTCGAGAAATTGTTCCACTGGTTACTTCAATCTTTTCTTTTTTTTTTTGCAGCTAGTCTTCTGTTGAAAATGTTTGTTTCCTGATAGACCTCAAATGCAGCTAAGGTATATAATGACAGAAAAAAGTCACATACATATCAACAACTTCACTTCATTGTATTTAATTCTGATCCATCATTATGAGAACAGACAACAGTGAAGCGGGAAAGACCTACTGCATGTACCGTCACTATTAGTCAAGAGCGTAGCATTTTATTGTAAAATTCAATAGTCTGGAAATGTACTGCAGTAGAAACAGAAGAGAGTTTGCAACAGTAGCACAATCTATTTTACCAAAAGTTGAGGGTTTGGGTAAAACTGTATCAGTTCAAGTCAAAAGCAGTTCATTTAAACGTTATTCACTAAAATAAAAACACCAAGAACACCATGCACACATGAAGATTGAAGAAAAACCCAAAACCTATTGGCCTTGTACTGCCATCACTATACTATAATGCCTCAATTATACCAATATACAGAAAAAAACCTTTTCATCACTCCAATTTTAAAAGCATCAAAGGGAGACGAGACATAATATCGAGATACAAAATGCTCTGCAAGTAGTTACTCCTGTTTAAACCACAAGCAGCACAGGTCTTGTGCCAGATGATAAAAATCAACTAAAAGGTTATTCGTACAGGAGGATGTCCCTTCTCTGCCACAGCTTTGGCTTCTAGATGTTGGACTGGCCCAGGTTCACTTTGGAGGGGAGTGGCCCGGCCTCTTCCTCAGGCCCTTTGGAAGTGATGATCAGCAGGGAGGATGCTGGATATGGAGTTAGTTTTTGTTCCTTAATGTAGTCCCTGTCACCATAGATGCTCAATTTCTGGAAGGCAAAAAGAGGTATTTTTTGTCGTGAAACATTTTACAATCTTAAATGTAACCACAAAAAAGTAACGAAATCTTCCAAGCAGCACCAGCAAAGTGCTTTACAGAGAGAAAAAAACAAAAACAAAAACATCCTGAAGTTAGATGTAATAAACATTTACATACCCAGATTGATCTTGTATGTTAACCACAGACAGCACAGGACTTACCTCAGCAGGTACATACTGGTCTACAGCAGTTGCCACAGTCGCACAGCAGATCCAAATCAGGACCAGCACAGACAGGATCAGAGTTGTGGTCAAGATCCATCCTGGTAGCCAAGGGTTCCTGAGAAGAAATGTACATTAGCTTGCATTGCTTCATTGGGATTAGATCCATATTGTTGTTAATGGCATACTCTACAAAGTAAGTTAAATAACTGAACTTCCATGACAAAGTAGATAAAAGTAACAAACCTTGAGAGACAGCTGAAGAGGTTGTATTCATCATAACTGTGGCCCCCAGTCATATCTCTGTCCCTCTCCTGGATTAAAGTGCGATGGTATTCTTTGTAAACTGGGCTGCTCAACCCTGGGACTAGAAAATTAGAAATAAAGGTTATTTGAAATGCAAACACACATAATCCGTTTATTCCCCTTGTTGTGTTAGAAAACCTGTGGATTGTGTTTAAAATACATCCTTAATGTAGGCATGTTTAAGAACATGTTATTCTACATTTTTCTTAACGGCAACAATGAAAAGACTAAGGTCAACTACTCGTTTCTCTTTCACGTTCTATTGTACAACCATACTAATCCTCCAAGGCAGCAGGATGGTATATGTGGGATTGACCAAAAATAACCTACAGTGACCATATTCATCATAACAAAGGAAACTGTCACTCAGTGCAGCTACGTGGCTCATTAACATGTTTCTGGGAAAACACTGGAAGTCCATGGCAGAGAAGAATATTCTACCAGGTTCCATCTATACAGCGAATATTAGTAAAAATACATGAATTGTTGTGTTGGTTAATTTATAAGAATCCTTGAAAACAAGAAAGGTATAGAGAATCACTAGCTTTGTCCTATAAGTGGAATTAAAGAAAAGTGAGTGGAAGGCTTACAGCTCTTCTGTTCCTCCTCTTTATCTCCCTTTTCCAGTTCAAACTGGGAAAAAAACTTGACTTGTGGTTCAGTCTGTTAAACAGAAGACAGAACAGACAGAGTTTTCTCCAATACATTTGCACAGTAACAGGATTAAGTGTGTTTGCATACAAAACATACGATTAGATCATCTTTTCTTCACTACTCGGTACGATACCTGGAAAATGACAACTTTGCCATCATCAGCCTGGAGGTAGAATGTCCATGTGGAAGTGATAAAGCTATGGGCCTGACTCATTACATCATCCCAAAATCCTCTGACCAGCGTCAGGGGGTACAGCAGGTGAATCCTTGGTACCATGGCCTCCAACTGAAGAAACAAGCAACAATGAGTACACATTATTTTTTTTTTTATTGGGATATCCATACAGACCACTGAGCGACTGTTACATACTTGTACCTGCTCATGGCGTTGCTCTGCAAATGGAAGCTGATTCTGACAACCCAGGTTGCATGCATACCGCTCATCAGAGTGTTTGTAGGCTTCCCGACAGGCTGCGGAAATTTGGAGGCGATGAGAGGTAACAGATGGTAAAACAGGATTATAGTCATAGGACAAAGGACGAAGGGTTATTAAAAGCAAGCCACTTAATTCTGGTCTTGGGTGTGTAGACATCGGGCTGATTACATGCATTATATGCGTGGGCATTTGTTTATAGCTTTACTATAGGTGATTAAACGGATAACAAGCCATGTCTGCTGGGTTAAATAGGACAAAGGCTTAGCGCATAACTCACTTGATTCACACTCTGATTTGGTCTGATTCAGGTCCTCGCTGTCACGAACAAACTGACAAATGGAGAAAAGACGACAGCCTCTCTGACAGGCATAGAGTTCCTCCTCCTGTGGAAACAAACCAAAGGACCAGTTGAATACCACGATAAACAAGGACGTCCGTGAAAGATGACGCACTTTAAACTTTTACATTTGCTAAAACCCAACGCCTCAAACAACGTTTAATCAAAAAGACAACGTTGTAACAGAGTGAAGTACATAGTCCCACTTTTGTTTCGCTAACTTACCAAAACGTCACTTAGCTAACGCTAGCAGAAATTACTTTCCTCAGCGATATGAGTACTCACCCGTGGATACGTGTGCAAACTGTATGTCATTTCACATGATTTATGACAAGATGCGGTGCTTCCCAAAACGCTATCGAACACATCTGAAGATGCTGATGTGCGCGACAGCAGGGCGAAGAGTCCTAAAATACAAACAAAGGAGGAAGGAGTCCCCATTTTGTCTGCGAAAACCTAAACAAACAACACGCTTCTCTTCCTCCTCCTTAATCTATTTATCTCGCGAGACTGTTCGTGCATGTTTTGCTATGTTTAAGTGCTCCTCGTAAATTCCCAAATTGTACCGACAGGCGATATCACGTTCAGGTTCTGTAGATAATCAATAAACATTGTGATAATGCCTGATTTTTATAAAGTCATGATACCCTTTCTTATCATCACTGCATTTTAGTATCATTCAATTTTCTACATAATGCTTTGTTTGTGTATTTTATTTTAAGTCCTATATTCTGTTGTGATTCTGTTCGTTTTGTTTTTCTATTTTCCCTGGTTTTGTTCAATTCTGTTGTCTTTTGTCCCTGGGTGCTTACAGTTTCATGCACTCCAGTGGTTTTGCTCTCCGGACATCCTTCCTAAATGGAAATGCAAAGTAGGATTTGAGTCAATAAGAGTTCATGAAGTGTAATTCTTCTGCAGTTGTTTCGCGTTGTCTAATGAAAATCTTAGGGGGTATTGCCTAATTTCATTGTCCTACTGTGCTTCCAGAGTCCAAACAATTTCCTACCATGTTGGGTCGGTCCAGTGATGTCTTTTATTCCGACAGCACCTAAAGGCACCATCAGTGTCCACATAGCCTTCCAGCTGCTGCTAGCTTGACCTAACTTAAGATTTGTCACAGTTGCCGTTAGAAAGGCAACTATTAATTGGTCGAGTATGGACGAATTACCTTATCCAAGCCAGCAATGTATTTGATATATTGAGTTTCAAAAGATAGAGTTGGTAGGTAACGTTGACCAGGTAACTGCTAACAGCAGTAAGCACTGGTTGTTTCTGGTGGCTCCCTCTGACCTGGGTTTTAATTATCGGTACCCAACTTAAATTTGCTGAACAAACTTAACTGTTTTTGAATTAGTGTCTCAAAACCAAGCTATCCACTCGGTAGCTTCCTGCTTTGTATTTAAAAGATGGATAAGTTTGTAGTGCGGCTTCCAAAGGGGGAAACACCTACGAAATCGAAAAGCAATGGAAAGGTTTACAAACAAACTACAATTGAATCTTTACGGGTGAGCTGTCAGTCTTGCCCAAGAATGACCACACTAAGTCAGCGTAACTATGTGACAGATTTATTTACTCATTACTTGCCCTTGCTTTTCTAACAGAGGGTGGTTGTGATTGAAGACATCATGCGCTACAAGTCCATGTTGGAGCTGCCAGAACAGAGCAAGGACAACCTGCTGACTGCCCTGACAGAGCTGAGCAAGAAGATCCCATCCAGGGAAGTGCTCAAGTCCACTAAAATAGGTAGGCTGAGACTCTTATGATAAGATCCAACTTTCTGCAGGTGCTCTTCACGTTATTTTGCCGTTTGCCTTTGTTCTATTGTGATATCTATTTGTAGAAGTCAGTCACAATGCAATCTTGATATGAAAAGCACTCAGTAAATATGTATTGTATCAGCATTTTATTACATATTTGCATAAACTGTAGCACAGATTGTAAAACAACCCATTCAATTTAAATCCACATAATGAACAGTTCATAGGTTGAATCTACTGTACAGTTGGCTTTTATTGCATTGTCACGCAGCTGGAAACAGCAAATGTGTCCTCATTAATGCCAGGGCCATTATCAAATTCACAATATTCTAATTAGTTTGGTGAAAACCTCTCTCTTCTAAGGTCACACTGTCAACAAAATGCGAAAGCATCTGGACCATGAGGTGAGCTCAATGGCAGCAAAGGTTTACACTGACTGGAGGACGTTCATTGAGGAGAATTCCAATAAGCCGTCTATTGAAGTGCGCTCTGACAAACAATCCGAAGGACTCAGAAACAACGCTAGAAGACTAATGTCTGAAGCCCTGGAGGTCAAGGTGAGGATGAGAGTCTCATTTAAGTTCAGTGTATCGGCCAAAGCATTTGTGTTCTTCTCCTTCTGTTTATTCCACTTCTAATTTCCATTTTACAATACATTGCTTGTGAAATTTTTGGGAATATAAATGAATGGAGAACGTACAATATGTGGTCATTTGCATAACCTAGCTTGAGTAATATTATGGTTTTGTATGGCATGAGAATTGCAACTTCTTACAATTTAATGTTTCCTACAACTGTATGTTGTAGATGTTTGAAGACTTTTAACAGATCAATAACATCCACTGAAAATTCAGCATACATGATTCATGCTTCAAGGAGCACGTCTTTATTTATTGTCAAATTAACTCTTTTTAATTTTTATTTGTATACATTCCACAAGTAAAAAATACCTAACAAAACCATCTTTTCTCTTAATGTTACTCAATGTACAATTCATCGGCTGCAAGTCCTTTGACACCTGACATAGTCTTCTTTAACCATGCATCCGATTGCTTAAAATCCTGTTCACCTTGCAGCTTTTTAGTCACTGGCTGATTCATTCATAAATACAAATAAGAATTTTAAGTTATGTGTGTGTTTTCTTCTTATTCTCTTGTCTGACCTACAGGAGGATTCTGGTCTTATAGACATCATTGAAAGAGAAGTGTTTCACCAGAGCTCCCGGTTAGTCAGCAGCTCATACAGACGGACTGTTCGAGCACTGGTGTTCGCCTTCAAACACAACCCTGAGATCAGAACTCAAGTGAAGGATAACACAATGTCAGTCAACGAGGTGGTTTCTAAGTACAAGAAATAACTGAGGATGAATAAGGCTTAGCCTTGAGACTGTATATTGAAGACTTCTGGTTTACATGACATTTGTGGTTTTTTCTGTATACATACATTAATGCAACATTTTTATTTTTTTTCTTGATTTTCTGTAAAGGGGATATAAAATACTTTCACGTTTTGTGGCACATCACTAGCCTAACACTGTTGTTTTGTGTTGGAATCATGTATGAATATTTTGTTAATAGATGCTTTGTTTTTATATTGATGAACATTTTTATACAAAACATGATTGATCTCCAGTTTCCTGAAGTTCTTTCTTTGTTGAATAAGACTATATGTACAGTATATGTTACTACAGCAATACCAGCCAAACAATAGCTATCACCATGAGAATAACAGCCAGAACACAGATGCTAATGAAGACAATATCACTCAAATCATGAGGCTCAGCTTTGTTCTCCCCTGCGCTGCCGCTACTGTCATTGTCAGTTTGCTGGGCCTGTTCCTCGAGACGCCGCTCCTCTGCTGAAATGATGGACACTGATGCTATCTTCCGCAGGGCGTCACACTGCACCTTATATTCTTGCACATTCTGCTGCTTCCCATCAGAGAAATCAATGTAGAGTTTGTTTACCAGCATGGTGATGTTCCGATGTTTCTGTATGGGATTGGGAGTTACAGTATTAATAGAAGCAAGGCACAAATTTCTTTAACCACTAATGTATGGTAAATCATTGCTTATTATGGTGTATGAGTAAGGGACATGAGATTGTAGTTAGTCACCTGGCTAGCAGTACCACAGTTGACGAACTGAGCAAGTATCTTATACGAGGTGGCCGTTAACTGGGCTGTACAGGTTGGGTCTCCCAGGTAGATGCTCTCACGGTCTAGCTGAGGTAAGGACTGCTGGGCTATCAAAATGGTGAATTCTGATCTTGTGCAGCTAACGTTTACAGGTACCACTTGGATTGCAGGGGGGAAAAAAACACTTCACTTATTTTTGAAGAGCAATATATGTAAGAATGACCTGGGATGGGGAAGAGTTGTTTGCAGAGATGAACATTAAGCATTTTAAGGCAATAACCAAAGGTATATTAAGCTGAGATGCTTATATACTGGACATTTACCTCCAAGATAAGATGCAGTGAACCCTCTATGAGCTTCATCTCTGTCTGTGCTAAGTACCACCAGCAACTTGTTACCCTTTGAGATGAGAGAGGGAGGATGCTCTCTGCCACACCAACGTCCCAGCAAGGTGTCTGTCTGACTCTCCCCATCATAAACTGCAACAGAGTCATAGTCACACAGGTCTGACAGACTGTTGCGGTCCTCCAAGTCCATCACGGGGAAAAAGAGTTTGATGCGGTATCCAGCCGCAAGAGTGATGCTCCAGTGGCAGTTGATGTTGTTTGGGTAGATGCTGGGGAAATGTGGGCTGCTAAAGTTGCCACTTACAGCAGACAAGACTTGCTGGCATTCACCTGTTAAAAGTACAATGGATCAGATAAGTTGATCAACTTTATTTACAGCCACCATCCAGTTAGTTTTAGCTAGTTTAGACACTGGAAATGGAGGAAACAGCTCACCCGGTCACTGTGCCAGGCCAAGATATAGTGAAATGACATACTGCCTTTTTATTTTTAAAATGTTTTTAACACTATGGATTGAACAAATAAGATATAACTTTCAACTGGATTCAGGTCTGGGTTTTGGTTAGACCACTCAAGTACATTCTTGTCTCTGATAGGGATGGTGTGAGATGGTGTGATGAGCTCTGCTCTACCCATTTTCTGTCGAATATTGCAGCCAGAGGTGTTCAATTTTCATTCCATCAGATGGCAGGATCTTGTCTCATGCTCTGGGTCTTTCATGTGCCTAATCTCAAGCTTTCAGCATGGTGTAATGTGTTCTCCCTTCTTGCCACTAATATCAGCCTAATCATAGATCACACTGTTCCTTTTTGTTGAAGTCAAATTAATTTTTTCCAACAATTTTATTCTGCTCTGCAGCTATGGAAATAGAATTGGAATTCATGGGATTTTTGGTTCTGAATGGGTGAATGAATAGGATTTTTGTGAATAAAGGTTGCTTTGTGCAAACCGAAAAGTCTGACAGTTAGTCACATTATTGGTAACTGACCAAAGTTATTTTTTCATTTTCAATTCCTGCTGTTACATCAAAAACATGGACAGTCAACGAAGTCAAATACTGAAAGCAGTAGTATACTGGTGTGGAGAGTTTCTTTTTGAAGTACACACAATCAAACCCTCTTACCTGAGTAATAGTAGGCCTTGAACCCCCGTCCCCCAATGTTGAAGTCAGACTTGAAGACCACCAGAAGCTGGTTGGAGGTTGTGATTATGTTGGGAGGTTTATCTGCCCCACAGTATTTGCCCAGGTGGCGATGGGTGACTGTCGGGCCATCAAACAGGGCGACAAAGTCAAAATTGCACCCCTCATTGTTTTCCAGCTGGAAGTCCAAGAAGACCAAGGTGACCACGCTGGTGTTGGACACATGGATGGCCCAAGAGCAGTCAGCGTTGTTGCTGTACTCCTGAGGGTAGCCTGGACTGGAGATTACACCTGATAGGCCAGTGAGGACTCCACCGCACATGTCTGGAGAGGATAGAAAGCTGAACTCAGATGCACCTTACCTTTTTCTTTTTGAAAAGGAGTAACAGTACACATGAAGTTACTGGGAACAAAAACTTGTAGAGAAGGATGTAAAGAGGGCAGTACTGGTAAACTGAGAATTTAGTTTATGAGGCAAAATGGACAACAAGTATTTACATGTAACACCGGATGTACACTGGTTACTCAGTTTGCTGTATCTATATTGTCAACTCTGGTCAATTGATTTATCTTTGAAACTATCGGTGACACTTTTAGCCATGTTAACAGCATGGCTTCGGGATTGGCAATGTTGAGCTGTCCACCACTTTGGTCCAGACTGAAAAATATGAACTATGAAGCTATTAGATGGATTACCATGGAATTCTGTCCCCAGAAGATGAGTCCTAATAACTTGACTTCAGTGATCTCCTGACTTTCCCTATAGTGTAACCATGAGACCACAATTAGTCATTTGTGGTTGAGAAGTTAATATCTTAACAACTGTTGGTTTTATTTCCATGAAATATGGTACAAATATCCAAGGTCCCTGGGGGATAAATTGTAATCTCTTTGGTGATCTCATGTAATAACTTTCAACCCCTGACCTTTCATCTGGCACCATCATGAGGTCAAAGTTTTATTTTGTCCAATTCTTTATTTTATCACCAAATGCCTACAAAACTAATGTCATTCCCATCAGCCTCAGCTCTACAGTGGTTTGTGTTTAGTGCTAATTTACAAATGTTAGCATGTTAACAAACTAAACTAAAGTATGATCATTGTGAGCATGATGATATTGTGAGCTGTGCCTAAGTACAGCCTCACAGAGCTGCCAGTGTGGCTGTAGACTCTCTGTCTTGTAAAAGCCATGAGTTATGGTATTGCCACCTGGCCAGGAAAAATCATTTCAAGTTTTGGCCGTTAGCCAACTGATCCCTGTCATATTGCATCAGATATAACAAGTTACCTTTTCTGTAGCCAACGCTGAATCCCCTGCGGGCCACATGGCGGTCTGAATGGAAGATGATGGACATGACATTCCAAGAAGAGGTGAACTGAGGTGGAGAGATGTCACCACAAAATGTCCCTAGGAGGTTTCCCTCATCCTCAGATATGCCATTGTAGATCTTGATGTAGTCATAAGCACAGTTGGCGTGGTACTCCAGCTCAAAGTAGTGAAAGGTGAGGAGGACAGAGGAGCCCTCTGCCACCACTATTAGCCAGGAACAGTCAGTATTGTAGGGATACAGGCCTGGGTAGTTTGGACTGGAGATATTACCAGATGGTGCAGAGAGGATTCCTCCACATTTGACACCTTACAATGGCAAAAAACAAAGTTTTATTTCAGCTCAGAGTGGAGATACTTAATAAAGGTTATTGAACTTTCCTAGCATAGCTATTTATTAAACTATTTTCCAGCAAACTGATACAACCTTTGAAAGTGTATTACAAGCTGACATTGAACAATTGAGGCCCAACTTTCTCTGTATATACACTACCTGCGAGATAAAACACTCCTATCAAGTTTATGCTTTGCTCCATCAAGGTAACAAATAGCAACTCACCTTTTTTAGAATCAGCCTTGTCAAAAACCAGTAGTAAATGAATCAGTATAGCCACCCTGAGACTCATGTTGTTATTGTTGATTCGGCTTTTGTCATGCCTCAGCTACAATACCAGACAACGGCACTGTCAGAGTGTGTAGCCTTGAGACATCAGTAGTGGTGACTGCAGAGGTAATAGGACTTTGAAAAATTCATTCACAGCCTGAATGAGCAACCTGACACCTAGTCTACGCTTTGCCCTCTTTGCTAAATTTTAATGACGGATATCCAATGAGCATGAGTGGCTTGTCAGGGACACTGTTTGGAGAGATGCTATGCATTTTTAATGATGGTCACACACACACACACACACAACACACACACACAACACACACACACACACACACACACACACACACACACACACACACACACACGCACCCTGGACACCAGCTGTGAGTGGGGTTGAAAAAAGTGACAGGAGGAAAGAGAAGAGGATGATCACATTTGTCACTAATATAAATGGCTTCATTAGAGCAACATGTAGGAGAAAAGATCCAAGGCTACTGATATCGTGGAGTAAGGGGCAGTGTCTACAATTTGCTTTTCTTGTGTAAAAGCACCTTAAGCATGACACATAGACACCAACCTCTGAATGGGAATGTACATTGATGAAGAAATGCACAGGTGTGTCAGATTTGTCTAGACTTAGAATGATGATGATAACTATCTCACTTTATTGGATTATGGCATCAAATGCTTCGTTGTTATAGCTGCTACAACAGGAATTTAGCAGCTCCAGAAAAAGCTGGTAAATTGACCATTAGTTAAGGTTTTTTTTTGTTAATGAGTATATTATTGTTTGCAGATGTTGTCCTCAAATTCTATTCAATAAAAAGTATCAACACCACAATTGAAAATGATTGTCCATTAAAAGCAGCCATCCTGCATTTAAATGATTGTAGTATTAGTATTAAAGCTTTTGCGTCATATTGTACCTGAATACCAAAAAGAAAAGTACCCTCTCTAAAGAATGGTTCCTGTCTGTGCAGTTTGTGTTACCACTGAGGGTCACACCTACAGCTTGTGTTTGAATAAAAAAAAAAGCTCTCAGGCTATAAACTCATAGGCATTTTAATTCTGTATGTATAT